ACCTGCCAGTACCAACTTCAGACCGGGCCTCTCCGCGGCACTCTGTGCCGCCGCTCGCACCCGACCGCCCGTTGTTTCCGCCGCCTCGACGATCTCTTTCGTCATCGCTTTGGCCCGGCCCCGGACCTCCCGACTGGCACAGCCTACTCCGTCAGGGCGTGCCGATCTTTGAGTTAGATATGGATCAGATAGGTGCTGCTTTGCATGCCTTGTACTCTGCCGCTTCTAGTGTTGCTGGATCTTACTACCCTGTGTACTCTAGTTTAGGTGTTGCAACCTTCTGTAGCCCCCCCTGCTGCGTCGGGCGTAGGACTGCCTAGTTTGCCTAGCCTAGTCTCTGCACCGGCTTTGTTCCCGGCCTCCGCTACTGCCTCGCTGTCCTTCACTCTCGACTCCGGTGCTTCTGCCTGTTTCTTCCGCGACCGCTCCACGCTCACGCCGCTTGCTGCGCCTACTGTTGTCTCTCTCACTGACCCCTCTGTGGGTCCAGTCGTCGCTCGCAGTTCCACTTCCCTTCCCTGTCCAGCCGTTCCCTCGGGCTCTCTTACCGGCCTCCACGTTCCCTCGTTCTCCAGGAACCTGGTTGGTGTTGGCCGTCTTCAGGACCTCGGCGTCACCACTACGTTCCCTGGGCACGAGCGGTTCCCTGTCTGTACCAAGGCAATCTCAGGTTCCCCCCTTGCGACGTTCCCCCAGGACCCGGTGTCCGGTCTGTTTACCCTCGACACCGCTTCAACCCCGGTTGGTGCGTCCTCCCACGTCGCCGCGGCTTGCTCGTGTCGGTCCCTCACTCACCCGTCCCTACTGTGGCACCACCGCTTGGGTCACCCTGCTCTCCCGCATCTGCGTCACATGTCTCAGCACGGTCTTGTCTTAGGCCTCCCTGCATCGTTCCCTGCCCTTCCCCCCTCGACTGCGCCACCGTGCATGCCTTGCGTCGAGGGCCGGCTCCGCCGTGCTCCTCACTCCTCCTTGCTTCGCCCTGCTACTTGCCCCCTTCAGACCCTGCACCTGGCCATTTGGGGCCCGGCCCCCGTCCCCGGACCGCGCGGTGAGCGCTACTTTCTGGTGCTTGTCGACGACTACACGCGCTACACCACAGTGTTTCCCGTGGAGCGGAAGGCCGACGTGCCCGACGTTCTTCTACCGTGGGTTGTGGCTGTGCGTCTCCACCGCGGTCTCCCCGTGCTGTGTCCCCACTCCGACCGTGGCGGCGAGTTCGCCTCTGGTCGGCTTGGACAGTTCTGTCGTGCGGAGGGCATCACCCAGTCGTACACCTTGCCGGACTCGCCACAGCAAAATGGGGTTGCTGAGCGCCGCATCGGCTTGGTCATGGAGGTGGCTCGTACCTCCATGATCCATGCCGATGCCCCCCATTTTCTGTGGCCGTTCGCTATTCGCTACGCTGCTCACCAGCTTAACTTGTGGCCCCGCTCCCAGCGGCCGCAGGTTTCGCCGACCCTCCTTTGGACCGGGTCCCCCGGTGACACGTCGGCCTTCCACGTCTGGGGATGCCTTACTTACGTTCGTGCCTCTGGCACGGACAAGCTCACTGCCCGCACTGTCCCATGTGTCTTCCTTGGTTTCCCCCTGGACTCGTCTGACTGGCTCTTCTACCACCCGCAGTCTCACCGCTTCCTCCACTCTCGTGACGTCACCTTTGACGAGTCGGTCTCCTTCTACCGTCGCTTCCCTTACCGAGATCTCCCGGTTTCCCCACCCCTGTTCTTTGCTCCCTCTCCCCTGGTAGCCCCTGCTCCCCTCCCGCCTCGTCCAGCCCCGTCTGGCGTCTCTCACGTCACTCCCCTCCCGTCGGTTGTCCCCGTTGAGGAGTCTTCTGACTCTGGTTGTCCCCCCGGCCCGCCCTTGTCGCGTCCCCCTTCCTCGGTGTCACCACCTCCGCTTTCGCAGTCGCCGCCGCCGCTGTCGCAGTCGCAGCCGTTGCCACCGCCGCCGCCACCGCCACCGCCGCCGTCGCAGCCGCTGCCGCCACCGTCGCCGCCGCTGACGCTCTTGGCCTCTGGGGGTGCTGGCGTCGAGGAGGGTGCTCGTCCTGCGTCTCCTGGCGTCGTCTTTCCCGGCAGGCCTGGGGGTGCCGCTGGTGCTGGAGGGAGTTCTCGCTCTGGGGGTGTTGGTTCATGGGGTGCTGCCGTTGAGTGTTCTCCCGGAGGTCGTCGTGCCTCTGCCGGTCCGGGGGTCGGGCACCAGCCGTCGTCGCAGCCGGTCTCCGCTCTTCGCCTGCTCGGCCTTCCCTCCCCTGACCGCTCGCCGGTGTCTCCCCCGCCACCTCCTCACCTTCCTGTCTATGGCCCTGTGTTCCCGCCGTCGGACTCGTCTTCCTCCTCGTTCCCTTCTTGTGTCCCCTCCGCTGCCTCCTGACCCTACCCCTCCTTCCCACGTTTGGTCTCGCTGTCCCTCCCGTGCTCGCCCCGTCTCTCCTGTCCTGCGCTCTCACCCTATGTTGCTCCGTTCCCACTCGTCTCGTCCTCCCCTCCTCCCGTCGCCTCCTCCCTCATCGCTTGTTGTTGCCCCTCCTCCGCTGTCTGACTACTTCCGTGCCGCTCGTCCCCTTGTCCCTCGGGTTCTTGCTTCTCTTGTTACAGACCCGTCTGTTCCTGTCTCCTGCCTTGACGCGCTTGTCACTGCTGTCGCTGACTTCGCCTCTACCCGCCGCCTTGACTACGCTACCGCTCTGGTCTCTGACCCTGCCCATCCTCCGTCCGTCGGGGATGCACCTGCCCTTGGCAGTGACGTTCTAGAGGACAGGCAGTACGAGCTTGCTTTCCTTTCAGAGGCCGCTCCCCATCTCTGCTCCATGCTCCTAGTCCCAGAGGGTAACCCAGACGCCTTCAACATCCCGACCCCTCGCACTTACGCTGAGGCCACCTCGGGACCTTGGGCCTCTCAGTGGATAGCTGCCATGGAGTAGAAGATGGCATCTTGGAGGTCCACCGGCACTTACGTCGACACAGTTCCCCCGCCTGGGGTGAACGTAGTCGATGGTCGGTGGCTCTTCAAGGTGAAGCGCCCCCCAGGAGAGCCGCCTGTCTTCAAGGCGCGCTACGTGGCTAGAGGCTTCAGCCAGCGTGAGGGGGTGGACTTCTTCCAGACATTCGTCCCGACCCCGAAAATGACTACTCTTCAAGCGCGGCTACACGTAGCAGCACAGCGCGACTACGAGCTTCACTCACTTGACTTTTCTACTGCCTTTCTTCAGGGCAGCCTACACGAGCAGGTCTACCTGCGTCGAGCGCAGGGCTTCACTAGTACCTTCCCTCCTGGGACCCAGTGGCTTCTCAGGCGCCTGGTCTACGGCCTGCGCCAGGCTCCCCGCGAGTGGCACGACACGCTGCGTGCCACGCTAGCAGACCTGCTGTTCTTTTCGTCCTCTGCTGACCCTTCGCTTTTCGTTTGTTCCGGCCAGACTCCGTTCTACATCCTCGTTTACGTAGACGACATGGTCTTTGCTACTGCTGACAGGGACGCACTGGCCTCGGTGAAGGCCGAGCTGCTGAAGAGACACACCTGCACTGATCTAGGAGAGCTGCATCGCTATCTTGGCCTGCAGATCTCCAGGGACAGAGCAGCACGCACCATCACTCTGACTCAGTCACACTTGGTGCGTCAGGTCCTTTAGAGGTTTGGCCTTCAGTTCTCCTCAGCATAGCCCACACCTCTACCTGTAGACCATGGGCTCTCGGCCCCCGTTCCTGAGGAGCCAGTAGAGCCCAGCGGCCCCTACGCAGAGCTCGTGGGTTGCCTCATGTACCTGATGACTTGCACTCGCCCAGATCTCGCATACCCTCTCAGCATCCTGGCTCGCTTTGTGGCCACTGGCAGACAGCGACCTCAGCACTGGTCGGCAGCTAAGAGGGTTTTGCGATATCTCGCTGGTGCCATGGCAGCACAGGAGCTCCGCTGGCTGACCTTCTTGCTCACTGACTTAGGTGAGCGGCCTAGCTCTGCCCCGGTCCTGTACGCTGACAACAGGGCCATGATCCTCCTGTGTCGGGAGCCTCGACTTGAGGGCAGGGCGAAGCATATCCAGCTGCAGTACTTCCTCCTGCACGAACTACAGCAGCGGTGCCAGGCCGACGTAGTTCACTTGGCCTCCGGTTCCAACACAGCTGATATCTTTAATAAGGCGCTTGCGCCTAAAGATCATCAGCGGCACTGTGTACAGCTTGGTCTTGTTCCTGTAGCTACTCACCTGCTAGGACCTTGATTGTGTACTCTTTACTATATATATCTGTCAGACTGGCCTTGTGGCCTTTTCTCCAGTGGCTGGACTAGTAGTGCCGCCCTGGCTTGCTCTTGTCCTGTCTGTACTCCTGTTGTCTGATCTCTGGACCCCTGTCTCAGTGGCTGGACTAGTAGTGCCGCCCTGAGCTGTGTGCTTGTTCCTTAGCACCACCCCTCCTCTAGCCTAGGGGGTGTGTCAACTCATACATGTTATGCATGTAGAAGTTATAGGCTAGTATCGGTGTGTGCTCCTAGTGAGTACAACCCAATTGCTATATGTATCATGTTTTCCCTTCTAGTAATTTTTCACGTATTCTAACAGGGGGAAGGTGTAAGGAAAATCCTTTTTCCCTCAGCGAGCCTCGCTAACACCAAGTACAGCCCTGGCTTTCGGAAGTGCAGGCTCGGCCCGACATCTGAGGTCCGAACTACGTTCGAGACCCCCAAGCCTACACGCGGCGTCGCGTCCGAGGCGCGTCCGAGAAATCCGAGTCTCAAGGCGCCCCAAACCACCTTGCGTGTGTTTTGTGGCCTTCCTAGAGGCTTCCTTGCTAGGTTAGATGTGCTTGTTTTTAGCCATGTGCTCCATTTGTATTCTACAAATTTTAATCAAGACCTCACTATTGCATTACTAGACTCCTATCCGGAGAATATCATAACAAGAAATCTTCTAAGTCCAGGGGAGTCTTCAAGCCCCCTCATGTTGTTCGACCTTCGAATTGGACCTTGAAGACTGCGCGCTCCCCTGGAGTTGTGTGGATGGTTTGATTTTCTCAGTTCTGCTCGGTGAAGAATCGATGGCTTCAGATTTTGCGATCACCAGCTGAACATGACAGGCTCTAGGTTTCCTGCTATGTTAGCCTCTCGGACCAGCTACGTCGACATATATCACGAAGCTGTTTCTAGCTTCTGCATTCTTCTGCTTCTTCGTTCGTGCTTGCTCTCCGGCCAGCCACCTGAAGGCGCCATTGTACCAGATTGTCTGTTCAGCGGCTGTAAACCATGTTCTATTCCAACTCCTTGCTCTCGAGGAAAAGTCCTTTGGGCCAAATATGGTACGAACTTCGACTCAGCAACCTAGTGCCTAAACATTTCGCGTGTTATGCCTTCGTCCAGCTAATTAATCTTCCTGTTCAACGTCAACAGGATCGCCGCTATGATGCAAGGAAGCATCAACCGGAAGAAGGCTGCACTTATCGACATCCGTGACATATGCGCGAGGATTCTTGAACCTGAACTCCCCCTTGCCCTCCGTCTCTCGGGGATTTTGATGGGTAAGTACTGTCCCACGGAACTTTAGTAACCGCATCAAGTAAAACGCCTGATCGCCTATGGTTTCATCTACAGGCGGCGCAGTCATTGTGTATTCCAAAAAGGTCACGTTTCTTTTGGAAGATGCCAAAGCTTTCATGGTAAGAAAGGCCTGTTTCCGTTTCCCGTCGTGTGTGAGAAAAAGTACGACTCACGTCTCAACGCTGCTTGTGCAGGCAAAGATCAACGCGGCCCTGGTTGTGAAACGAGATGACAAGACGCTCCCTAGAGAGAAAGGCCAAGCGAGGTTGGTTTCTATCCTATAGAGACGAGCTGTATGTGTTCTCATGTTCGCAGCTAACCACAAGTGTTACAGATTTGAGAGTGTTACGGTCGACTACCAATTTGGTAGTTTCAATGTGGACGTCACTCTTGATTCTGGTCCTGGGCCTGGTGACCAGAACAATGTAAGATGGTTTCACACTTGGCTTGTAAGCAAGGGTTCAGCATCCATATATCCTAAGCTCGAATGCCTTTTCAGGAGTTTTTCGTGCTACCTCAACCAGAAGTTGCACGTGATGGACGAAATGAACACACTTTGGGTGAGTCTCCCTGCATGCATTTGCTTTCTTTGAGTTGTTGGTTTGTGGCCTAAGCCAACTCATCTGATGCTCCAGCCACACCTGCTGACATAACACTTCCGGAGTTACAACATGACAACAAGGGCTTCACAAGGTGAGTTGTCATCTTGTAAAATCAGCTACTCCTTGGCAGATGCCTTGATTTGAGATACTTCTGCAGGTTTGGGGTTGATGATCAGCCACCAATGACATTCCAGGACGAAGGTGCTTCTGATACTATGTGGCAAGACATCTTGAAGGGTACGCCTTGCTTTCTGTCTGCTATTTAAAGGCGGTTCAAAGTCCTGCTTTATAACTGACATTTTGATTCAATCTCAGGCATGAATTCACCGAAGCCGAGCACGCCAAAAGGGCCTCAACTTGAGACCATTATTGAAGATCAGCAAGAAGCAGGTCAACCTCAAAATGTTCGGGACCAGACTGCTGCGCCTGAGTCGGTATGTATGATTTTCGCCCTGAATTTTTCTGCACAGTGAGCATTGCAGTCTTATAGCGCTCCCTTCGATGTGGCAGCCTGAACAAAATGAGCCGCCAAAGCGAGCAAGGCAGATTAAAAGGAAGGCGAGGCCAAAGAAAATTGTCATGGATGAGGATAGGACAGAGGTACCACCAATGGAATTCAACCGATGGCTGCAAGACACTTCAAAAATTACTGGAAGAGTGAAGAAGGTATGACAGGATTGTGGACCTTTTCCAGTCTGTGAACTGTTTCTAACAATGCTGCCCATTCCAGGATCGGAAGGCCCTAGTAGAGAAGTCCGTTGACTCTCTCATTGACTTTCCCTTGACTGGAAGTATCACCAAGGACGGATTCGTAACATCCAGGTGGTCCAAAAGCATGTTGCGGACGTGGAACAGATATGTACGGAAGGACACATTCAGAAGCAATCCTGAAGCAGATGGTAAGTGCTGGGGACAAATCCGTTTCAACTCCCATGTCACTTATTTCTCAAATCTAGACTGTACCCCCGTCTTTCTTATGAAAATGGTCTGTGACGTTTGCAGAGATGCATGCCCCAAAGAAAGCTCGTACAGAAATTGGGAGTGACAAGGTAATGTATCCATCATTCCCAGATTTTAACTGCCATGACAACTTCTCCCCAGCAATTCAATAACCGTTTGACCTCCCAGGACCCTGAGATTGAGCCGAATCAGGCCATGCTTGAAGATTTTGGGTCTGCTGAAGCTATGAGAGAAAGAAATGAGACCCCTGTGGCGGCAGGCAATGGCTTAAGACATGATGACGTGACTCCGCCTGCTCAAGGTTAGTCATTGTGACATTACCTTGTTTTGCAAGCTCCTGTCGTTTCACTACTGATCGTTCACCAAACATCCTGCAGGGTTATTGGATCTTGAACGAGCAAAGAACTCTTCTGGTGGTGTACCTCTTCCAATGGAGGAGGAAAACCAACGAGGCTGCTTTAGGGGGTGAGTCCGGCCTCTGCTTTTGAAACCCTGATTGCAGATTCGTTGTCCTTCAATTCTGAACACCTTCAACTGTGAACTTGCAGAAACCCTTGTGAAAACATAGCGGACTTCTTGATGGAAAACTCGCCACAGATGCCCCAGAACCTGGCAGATGATTTACCTGCTCAATTTCCTGGACGGAGTGCTGAGAAGTATTCCTCCAAGCATAGCAGCAGCGGACTGCGAGGCGCTTTGAGTCAGTTCGGTGAGTTCTACAGGCTGCTTGTACAGCTGCACTATTAACAACAGAATGGAACTGACTCGTGAATTCCAGGTGTGTCAGAGCCCCTGCAAGAAACAGATGCAACCCAGACAGTTTTCCCTGCAACTTCCATTGACAGAAGGACAGCATCACTGGCTGGGTAAGTGAATTCACGCCCAACAGAAACCCTTGCTGGCCGGACCATTACTCACAAACCTGGTGCTTGCAGATTCTTCCGCCAGCAAGTCTTCAGCAACCCAGAAATCAAATTTGCATCGCTCCATGAACTCCTTGCAGACTGCAACAGGCAGCAGGCAGCTCGCATTTTCTACCAAACATGTGGTACGCTCACTTGCCATTTTCTTGGTACACTTACATGCAGCCTGCATCAGCCCAGGCCCGTCTCACTTGTCTCAAAGCCATCAACTTCCTTGTGCAGTTCTTGCAACAATGAACTACCTGAAAGTCAAGCAAGCCTCCCCGTACAGTGATATTCAGATTCTTGCGGGAGGGTTTCTATGAGAACCTCCGCTCTGCACTTCCATCACATTCATGTAGACTTATCATTGTATTACTTGCATTATATGACTAGATTCAGGAAAATCATACAGACCCCTTCCACATCCTAACGAAGGGAAAATGATGGAGCATGCAATGTGGGGCCATAAAATGATACAGTATGTGCACAACAAACCATCAACGTGCCATGAAAATTAGTAGTTGGGTTGCGACCTCATTCTGGATATCGAACGTCCTCTTAGCTTAGCCCTCATAACTTCCCAGCTCCCCAACGTACTCTGCCACATCATCCATTGCCAGCCGTTCCAAAGCAAATGACTCTGCCAACTGAACCACAGCCACACCCTCCTCACCTCTCCTCTCCAAAAGTTTCCCAACCTGCCCCCGATTCGGCCCAGAAAGGATCATAACCCGGCCACCCTTTTTCGGCAGAGCCGTTTCCACTTCCTGCTCCTTCAACCCCTGGACCAAATTTCCTCTGCTGCTGACCCCATTCCCACTCCTGTCACCAGCTTCTGATGATCCGGGATCCAGTAGCACGTCACATGTGGTAGGCGTAACAACATCGACAATTGTGCCCTTCTTCAAGTACAACCTTCCCCCATGAATGCGCTTATCCACGATACGCACCCGAATATGCGGCATCAGCCATGGTCGGCGACTCGAAGGAGGAAGGGGAGGGGGTGAGCGAGATGGTTCCCGTGCAGCTCCTTGCTTCGAAGGAGCCTGCTCACGCTTGCCTTTAACCTTTCCTTCTTCCCTGCTGTCCCTTTCTCGATTACTCCTCCTGTCCCTTCCCCTGTCCCTGTCCCTGTCACTGTCCCTGTCCCTGTCTCTGTCCCTGTCCCTGATTCTGTTGCTGTCCCTGTTCTCATCCCTGTCCCTGTCCCTGCCCGTGCCCCTATCCTTGACCCTGGCCCTGTCTCTTTCATTCTCCCTGTCCCTCTCCCTGTCCTCATCTCTCTTCCGTTCTCTGTCTCTTTCTCTTCCCTTTCCCCTCTCCCTCTCACTGTCTCTGTCCCTGTCCACCGATGCATAAACTTTCTCGTCCTTTTTCTCATCCCTCTCATCCCTTTTCCTTCCCTCCCTGTTCCTCTCCCCATCCTCCCCCTCCGCCCTTTCCACTACTTTCCTCCTCCTTGCACTACCATTCTCTCTCACCATCCTCTCCTCCCCATCCCTTCCCTCCTCCCCCCTTATCCTCATCATCGCCTGTTCTTCCTCCCAAGACCCCAGATCCGCCACCTCCTTCCCCTTCACTACAATCACCTCCTCACTACCCACAAGCACCATCCTCACCTGAACCCCCTTTCCTTCGCCCATTTCCACAACTTCCAACACCGTCCCAGACAACCCCTCATGCCGTCCCTCTACAATCCTCATCACCTTCCCCTTCACAGGTCCGGGCCTAACCCTCTCCACTAACTTCTCCGAAATCGGTTTCACATGCCGAACCTTCCCGTCTGGTCCGGTCGGAGCTACCAGGTCCGGCTTGGGCCCTCGGGTCTCCCCAGGTTTGATCAGCTTCTTGTTGTTTTCCAACAGCTTCGGAGTAGCTCCTAGGCCCAGGCGTCCCTGTCTTGGAACGAATTCCACAGGCTCAGCTAATCCCTTGGCATTCCGACCAATCGGCTTGCCTTTCTGCCAACCCATCCCCGTTAGAAGCGCAACCCCGAAATCCTCAACAGGCATCGACTCGTACGCGTCCAAATTCGCCTCGTCTGGGAGACGGTCCAGATCCTCCTGCAGCTTCTGCGTCTCAGGATCCATTATCGGCCGTTGATCTCGATCTTCAACCCTTTCCGGAGCAGATCTGACGGTCAAGCCGTACCGAACGCCTCCAGACGATTCGTCCGTTCCATCTACACCCTCCTTTCCTTCCCCTCCTCCAGGCAACGATCCCGAAGTACCCATATCGAACTTATTTTCCGGACCTCCCATAATCTCCTCCATTTCCGGATTGACGCTCTTCATCCGCTTTTCCGGCTTCCACGTGTCTTCTAACGGAGAAATAATCTTCGGCCCGCGCTTCGATTTAGAATCGTCCTTCGCGACCAAGCCCGTGAAATCGACGGCTGTGATCAACTCCCGTTGCTCGCTATCCTCGTCCTTCTTATCCTGCGGCTTTCGCTGAACCTTCGACGCGCCTTTCATCTTGCCTAGAGAGAATTTCATAGGCGCAGATTTACCCTCCTTAGCACCTTCCTTAACCTCCTTAGAACCATCCATAGTCTCCCTCTGGCCCTCCTTAACCGCTTCCTCCCCTGCAATGGGGTTCGGAGAGGGACTTTTTAACCCCTCGCCTTCCTCCCCGCCCATCGCCCCCGCTTGGAAACGTAGATGGCCGACGACACAAAGTAGCCTCGAAAAAGACAACGGGAAAGCAGCGAGAAAGGAAGACGAGCTAGTCGAACGTACGAGCGCAGCGAGGCGCAGCAACGTTCAACTCGGATCAGTGCCGCTGAATAGAAGTTTAGGGAAGGGAGAGAAGCAGCAACTATGGTAGTTTAGGCAGGAGAAATGGGCAGGTGGGGAAGGAAATGAATCTTAGTTCAGGCGGGGCTCTACAGAACACAACCCTTCTGACCCCGAGGTTAAAAGTTTCGCGAATGCCAACTGGGATGGTGTAGTTTCCAGCTTCACAAATTGGTTTCCAGATTTCGTCTTTCGCATGCCGGGGAACTTGGAGAATGGTCCCTTCGCTTCTCAGCAGGATGACCAGGGAGGGACCTTACACGCCTCATATTGCTGTTTTGCAGAACAAGCAGCCTCAAAAGCAACTACAACGCAATACACGTGGGAAACTTGGCACTCTGACGCCAAGTTTTTCGCTCAGGTACGGGTACCACCGATCCTCGCAAGGGGGCCTGTGACCGTAGCTGAAGAAAGAGCAAGAGATTATTCCGACCTTAACTTAATCCGCGGGATGCGGTAGCAACCCCTACCGCATCTCGCGCGCATGGCTCTCGTGCGAACCTTCGTCGGCACCTTCTTGGCCAACGTGGTGTTTTATAACAAGTCGGTGACGAGCTTCTTAGCGGGGACGGTGGTGGGGATTTACGTCGGACAGAACTACGACGTGCCGAATGTCGAAGCGAACGTACGCAGGTGAGGGAGAGAGGGGGGAATATTTAGGGAATGGAGAGGACTGATAAGTTATGCGAGGAGGAAATTTCGGCCTGAAATCTGAATCACGACGTGCCGAATGTCGAAGTTAACACACGCAGATGAGGAAGGGCTGGGGGAGGGCTTGGGGAGGAGAGAGTACTGATGATGTGACGGGAGGTTAATAGCGTGGATTATTGGTCTTACATCTGAATCACGACGTGCTGAACGGCCAGACGAACATACGCAGGTGAGAAGGGTAGTTGGAAAAATTGGGAGGGTTGTGCGTATAGTTAGTGTATGGTGGTGGTGTGGAGGGCAGCACGCGGAGACGAGGAGTGACAGGTTGATGGTTTTGAGTGGACACTCAAAAGAGTGGGGAGGAAAGCATGAGGAGCGACTGGTAGATGATTTTGAGTTGGCTCAAAAGCGTGTTGAGACGAGGAGGGGACTGGTGGATGGGTGGGAGAGAGGAGTGGAAGTGAGATAGAGAGATGCTTTGAAGTTCATCAAACGGCATCACAACAGGTGAACACCTGGAGGCAAGCCAAACCATGCATGACCCTCAACCCACCCATCCAAATACATGTCCCTCAATCCAGCCATCCCCAAACATGTCCCTCAACCCACCCATCCCCATACATGTCCCTCAACCCACCTTTCCAAATACATGCCCCTCAATCCAGCCATCCCCATACATGTCCCTCAACCCACCCATCCCCATACATGTCCCTCAACCCACCCATCCCCATACATGTTCCTCAACTCACCCAACCCCATACATGTCACAACCCACCCATCCCCATCATGTGGCTGCTAGCATACCTGACTCCTGGCCTTCTCTTTCCCTCTCTACCCCCACTGACTGGTGCATGCGCCACATTCTCTTCTCTTTGTGTTCCTCAGAGCCGTGGCATACCTGCAAGAGCTGCATGACAAGTACCGCAGGCAGCCTTAAAGCCCTGGTCCCAAATAGGCCAATTCTGAGCCATGCGTGGGCCAATTCAACTGCTTGCCCTGATTCAATTGCTGGACCTTGATTCAATCAAGGGCCCTTATTTGCTTCAACATGTAATGATCTGGGCTTCAACAGTGTGTACATAGGTTATGGTTATAGAGCAAAAACGTATGCTTGGGAAGTTGGGATATACCCTTACATGCAGCTTTGACTTGGGGTTGGGGCCCTCAATACCTTTTGTAAGCAGCCATTTTCGCTTACAACTACTTCCTAAGGCAATGCAGCAGCCACTTTCATAACTTCTACTAGATAAGCTACATTACATTTCCTATGAGCCTAAGCTAAACACTGGCTGCAAAGCAGTTACAGGTTGGTCATTCAGCACTACCCTGGGAAGCTGTGCTCCTTGCTCTAGTTACTCCGCCTGCTCTGTGGTTTCCCTGCCCCCTACCCTGGCGCTGCTCACTGGTGCCAGTAGCAGCTTGCCAACCATGCTACAGTACCTGCAGCCACCTTGCTGCTTATTGCCGTTCCAGACCACCACCCAACTCAACTTTGTTGCTTCATCCGACTCATCCGCCCCAGCAAAGGTGCTTCAATGGTGCAACACGGACTTCAGTCCCACTAAATGCAGTTGGCTTTAGTCACTCCATGTCAGCATCACCTTGTCACATTGGCTTTGGGCTAATGCACCGTCCCATTGTGTCACAATCTCGGCCCTTATTGGGGGATGATGAGCAGTGCTGCCTCAATGTCTTCCATCGTTATAGTCACAAGCTCCTCAGAATCGCAGCAATCGAGATCCAGCCGTTCGTCCAGTCGATCTCGAGCGTCCATTAGAACAGGCAGCGCCATCCCACCGTTCCTCTGCCTCCTCTGCTCCTCTGTTGTCAATTGGGTTATAGCCACTGCTAGGGAGGAAGAGGTGATGCTGGGATGCAACCTGCAGCAGTAGGGAGGGGGAACAGAAGGAAAAAGCTGGGCAGGGTGAGTCAAGCATGTTTTAGGTTAGGAGAGGTTAGGAGAACAGGAGGGGGAAGAGAAGGGGGAGCAGAAGGAAAGGGTGGGGAGGATGAGAGTGAAGCATGTGTAGTGTAGGAGGTAACATGTGTGTGCACAGGAATTTATGGGAAACGAGCAACGAGTTATCCAACAAAGCAGCCTTTTTCGCACCTGAATCCTGTAAGGGGCGACTGCTGAATGGCACCACTGTAGTCACTACTGCTGCTGCTACTACTGCTGCTGTTATAATCACTTCCGCTACTGCCACTGCTGCTGCTGGTGCCGCTAGCACAATCACCATCACTCTCATCCCCGCTAGTAGCAGCTACCCCAGCGGCCTGCTTCATTTTAAGCAGAATGACTTGCGCAATGTCGAGTGGCGAGAGGTCGTCAAACACAAAGACTCGCGACACGCGCCGCTGAAACCCCTCGTTCACGGCAAAGACCCGTTTCATTGGCTCGGCATAACCTGGGGGAAATGAGAGGAGGGGGATGGGGGCGAAGGGGGGGGTCAGGGGGAGCGGAACAGGAAGGAGGGAAGCAGGATGAGGATGAGGGCTATTGTAAAACGACAGAGATGTAAAAACACGGTAAAACACCCCACCCCCTTCCGAGACACACCAACCAACCCCTCACTAATCCCCACAACAACCCACCCAACCCCCCACATAAAAAAAGGCGGACTCACCAGCAAAAATCACCACAACGCTGCCCGAGTCCATCACCGACATGATCTCCTCCAACGCCTCCGCGCCGTAATCTTTTTCATCTGCCCGCTGCTGCGGCACCAACCGGTACGCCTCGTCAACAAACAGCACCCCCCCGGCCGCCTCCATTATTTTCCTCCGCGTTTTCGGACCCGTGTGGCCCACAAACTCGCCGACTAAATCCGTCCTCTGCACCTCTACCACCTTATCCGTCGGTAAAACGCCTACTAGGTTCAAGAGCCGCGCAAGCGCGCGCGCGACGGTCGTTTTCCCGGTTCCCGGGGAGCCTAGGAACGCCATATGGGGGGGTTTGCGCGGAAGCACGCGGATGCCCAATTCCCGCCGCCTCTGGTCTAAGACTAGCCCCTTGGCCCATACGCGCAGCTGCTGCTTCAATAGCGGGAGACCTATTAACGCGGATAGCTCTTTTTCGAGCGTTTGCATGACGGCGAATGCGGAAGAGGGGGAGGAGAGGGAAGGGGAAGGGGGTGGGGCGGTGCGTGCCACGTGGCGGTCTAGGATTAGTCGAAGGGAGGCGCGCATACTGGTACTGCTGCTATTGGAGCCGGTGCTTGTAACGGAGGTGGATCCTAATTGGATGTGACTCAAAGGGGAGTTGCCGTCCTTGTCCTGCGCTGCCACGTCAGCACCGTGCTGCAACAACAGCTCCACCACATCCAGAATCTTTGGCTGCCCTCTGCCGGCCGCCACGTCCGCCGCCCCGCTGCCGGCTGCCACGTCAGCGGTGTTGATCGCCGCCCAGACGGCGAGATGCAGCGGCGTGGCGCGATTCTGAGAAAGAGAAATTAACGGCGAAGGGGATGATAGTGAGCGAGATTGGAGTTCAGGGGGTGAGTGAGACAAACGGCAGGCGGGTGGAGTAAAGGAGGGGCGTAAGGGGGAGGTGGGATACTGGGAGGACAAACGGAATTGAAAAAAACCGGGAGAATGGTCCAAGAGAAGAGACTCGGTCAGGCATGTATCAGAGCGCATCGGTTGTAAAAGTATCCCATACCCCCCCCCCCCCCCACACACACACCTTTTCACCCCCCCACCCTCCCCCAGCACCCCTTTTCCCCCCATCAACAACCTCCCCACCCCCTCTTCCCCCGGCTGGCCACCCAGATAACCCCCTTCCCTGGCGCGTGCTACTCACCGACGCAGCAGCATTCGCGGCGGCACCGCCTTCGAGGAGCACCTTGACGCAATTGGCGCTGCCGCACTTGGCGGCGATGTGAAGAGGCGTCTCGCCGAACTGGTCAATGGGGGGAAGGGAAAAGGGAGGTGGAGGTAGGAGGAGGGGAGGAGGGGAGAGAAACACGGCATGTGAAACGTAGGGAGAGAGGAGAGGGGGCGTGAGAGGGGAGAACCGACCGACGCATTTTCACGGGCGACTCGTGGAATTTGCGAGGCAAGAGGGCCCGGCTAAACGAGGGGGTTGACCCTCCAAGGGCTCACCATATTGCGCGCGTCGACGTCGGCGGCAACCGCGCCCGACTCTTCCGCCGACCTTTCCCCCTCCCCGGCGCCACTCCCCGCGGCTGACGGCGGCCGGCCGAGCGACAGCAGCAGGCGGACGGCTTCCGCCGCGTCTTCCGCCGCCGCCTCGTGCAGAGGCGTCTGGCACGTCTGGTGGCGGGGATTGGGGGAAGGGGAAGGGTTGGGACGGGCGGGTGGGTGGAGGGTGATGAAACGGAAAGGAAGGGGGGGGGGGGGGGGGGGGGGGGGGGGGGGCAGGGCGGGGGCAGGCGGGGGGAGGGATGGAGAAGGTGGGGGGAGGAGGGAGAAAGAAATGTATGAAACAGGAGGTGGGGGTGTGGCCGTGCGCATGGAATCGCACGACCTTGAATCCTCAACTCACCAGGCTAGACCGCGCGTTGATCAGCTCCGGATTATCCGCCAATAGCGTCCGAAGCTCCTCCACGTCATCCCGCCGAGCCGCGTTGTGCACGACGCGGCTCGTGGCGGACCGCCGCTGCATGGCGACGAATGCAGCGGGCGGGGCGGCGGCTGATGCGGCAGGAGAGGCGGGGAATACCAGGCCGGCAGGGTTGATCGGTTTGGTACGGTCAGTAGGGGTGGTAGAGGCGGCAGTATCGATGACGTCAGCCTCCCTGTTAGTTGCTACTGCGCCAGCGGCGCCGCCGGCGGACTCAGTCGCCGCGACTTCCGCCGCGGCAGCCGCTGCCCGCTCGAGATTTAGGGTAAGCACTTTCGATTCTGGGAGAAGGCCCATCCTCGCCGCGTTCTCCGCTAGTTCTTCCAATTTCCCCGCGTTTTCCGCCAGCAGCAGCACTCTCTGCAAATCCGCCGCCGCCGCCGCCGCCGCTGCCGCATCCGCCATAGCCGGACGCCCAGGTGAGGCGGCCCCAGATCCGTCGGTACTACTTAAATCCTCCGTCTCTTCGGAGCGGGTCGAGGTTAGGCTTAGTAACGAGTTAGAGCTCCAGTCAGAGGAAAGCGGCGCGGAGTCCGACGCGCTTATATCGGATGCGCTTGTATCGGTGGAGCACGAATCGAACGACTCGCTCGCCGGCGTCGTCCCCATCGCTGCTGCCGCCCTGACGACAGAATCCTTCCATTCCATCATGGACTTGCCGGCCGCCGGCAGCGGCTCGCCGTCAGCTTCGCCGGCGACTGGCAACATCGGCGGCGGGGATGACAGCGAGAGGATCGGATCTGACGATTGGAAAACCGGTGCGAATTGGCACCAAGCCATGGCGGGAGGAATGCTGGCGGATGGAGGGAAGGAGTGGACGGGGCTGTGGTCGGCTTGAGTGCCCATTGGAACAGTCTAGTGTTAGCTTGCGCGATAAACTATTTAGTCAGGCAGGAATACCTCTACGCGTTGGCTAAAAAACTAGACCGAAACGGAGGCGTTAGAGTGGAGTTAGGAGCATTCGAATGTTAGTCTATTTGGCGCGTCGGGTGATCGGACCTGCTATGCAGAGGGTTGGAGTAATGAAGGCTAGCTATTGGCAACGGCTCGGGCGCAATAACGCTACAGAAGCGAGGGTAGAAGAAAAGGGAGGACGCTATGACGCGAGGATCCCAAGAAGCGCTAGGAAACGAGGATTGGAGAAGAAGGCGAAAATAAACAGAATTCCTCTCGTGCAAGTCGTCAGTTAGCGTGGATGGACGAGACTGTCAAGGACGAGGCTTCGCACAGTAACCCTTGGAAGAAAGGGCAATTGGGCCCAAGGGAGCGAGTGAAATAGGAGGTGGAGCGTGGGAGGCGGAGAAAGCGAATGGGGGGGAGGCTAAGGTGGCGGAAAAGCCAGGGCGAAGCCCCAGGGTGGGCGCCTGGGAAGACGGGGCGCCCTTAGACGTGAAAGGCGGTGATGGCGGAGGAATGCTGCGACCAGCGCTGGACACGAGAGAGGCCAAGAAAGGGGCGATGGTGAACAAGAAGCACGGGAGGAAACAGTAGCACGGAAGGGCGGAGGAACACCTACAGTGGGGTTGAGTGTGTTCGGTGAAAGATGGAAAATGTGGTGGTGATGGGACTGGGATGGGAAAGATGGGGATGGAAGAGGATTTTCTTACGGTTGGGAAGGCTTGAAGCTGGTTAAGCGTGGCTGGTCAAGAATTTCAGGGAAGAGAGAGTTTTTTTTGTCTGCCGTGCTGATCACAGAGTGGCAAACTGGGAGGTCAGGTCACGAGCGACGGGCAGCACGAAGTGTGATGTGGCTGACGTGTCACAGGAGCGAGGGGCCGACAACAGCGACCTGTGCCTGGTTACGATCGCATCTCGTCGCTGATCGAAGCCTACCGTCAGATGGAGCGATCCGACGGGACGCACACCACAAACGAAGTGGAGCCGCCGGGCTCGATAAGCGGGCGATTCGGTCCGTCGTTTCACTGTTCAGGAGTGATCTTCACGCGAGAAAGTGTGACGCAAAAGCAGGGTGACCCGCCAAAGTGGTCGGGCTGCCCGGACGACGTTGCGCGTGCACCAAATGTCGAACCTGATGATTGTTGTGGACAATAAACAACGACCGTCCGATTGATTATCGCAACTCAGTTTGGTGTGGTCGCAAGCCCGTCATGGGGCTGGCCAAACAATCTTATTGGCTGTCATTGTTGTCTGATCTTCAAACGTGGAAACGCGGTCAGCCCCCATTTTACTGTGCTGCTGCTCCCCCGACAACCCGCGCAAAGCCCGGAAGGCGGTCCGACACTTCCACTGGATGATGGCGGCGTGACGGTCCGCGAGAGGCATAGCGCAAGCGAAGGTGCCTGTAAAACTCGAACGTGACAAGTGCGACTCGAGAAATACTCGCTACAATAACTGGACGCTTAGGTGGTGATGCACATGGACCCGGTATCGAGCGATACACATACTTATAGCGTCAATTCTTAAAGGATTTGGCATTTCTATTACTATCCACCATGTCAACCATATGTAACAAATGATGGTACCCATATTTTCCTATAGGCTGAATATGTTGATGCCACGCCAGTAATGTCGCTCTTCCATTGCTAATCATCTCGCCAAGTAGCATCTACACTTGTATTGTCAAATCCCAGCCAGCTCACATCATAATGAAATGCTACAAGTCAGTGTTTTGGGAAGCCCTCTTGACAAGCAAGCACGCTAGCCTATACGGATAACCAACTATATGCGGAGAGCAGCACAGCACGTAATCAGGCTTGTGTGAAGCAAGATTGAAGACCCCCGAGTCAAGCTCAATAGCCGTAACATCCAGAAGCACGTGCCAGCACGTGCGCTGAGCCTCCGACACCCAATGAAGGGAGAAAGTTTGCCCGTTGGCACACATGGGATAGGCAAACAGACCCTGGAGGGCGAGCGGGAGAGGGGGAGAGGGGGAGAGGGGGAGAGGGGGAGAGGGGGAGAGGGGGAGAGGGGGAGAGGGGAAGAGGGGAGAGGGGGAGAGGGGGAGAGGGGGAGAGGGGAGAGGGGGAGAGGGGGAGAGGGGGAGAGGGGGAGAGGGGGGGGCAGGTGGAAATGGAAAGCAACGAGGATAGGCGGGCACTGGCGTATTCTACTTTTTGAGGGACCGCCCACCTGGAGGAGGATTGTTGGGTGCTGCTGAACAACCTGTCAGACCTCTGCAGTTGCTGCCAATCTGCGACTGCCCAGGATCTATTAGGGTAAATTACCCGGAGAGGAGTTGCGGTACCTTGGGGTTGGCTTTGCTCCTGCACCTCAAGTTGGTGCAGAGCTGGTTGTCAGGCTTCTGGAGGCCCAGCCAGTTCAAGAGGCCCTACACATTATCAGGGTAAATCACCCAAAAAATGGCTCACCTTGGGGTTGGCTTTGCTCTTGCGCCTGAAGTTGGTGCTGAGCTGGCTGCCAGGCTTCTGCAGGTCCAGCCACGATAGGGGCGCCTGAATCACCTTGGAGTCCTGAAGGGAGAGAGAGGAGAGGGAGAGGAGAGGAGAGGAGAGGAGAGGAGAGGAGAGGGAGAGGAGAGGAGAGGAGAGGAGAGGAGAGGGAGAGGAGAGGAGAGGAGAGGGAGAGGAGAGGAGAGGAGAGGAGAGGAGAGGGAGAGGAGAAGAGAGGAGAGGGAGAGGAGAGGAGAGGAGAGGAGAGGGAGAGGAGAGGAGAGGAGAGGAGAGGAGGGGAGAGGAGAGGAGAGGAGAGGAGGGGAGAGGAGGGGAGAGGAGAGAAGAGGAGAGGAGAGGAGGGGAGAGGAGAGGAGGGGAGAGGAGAGGAGAGGAGAGGAGGGGAGAGGAGGGGAGAGGAGAGAAGAGGAGAGGAGAGGAGGGGAGAGGAGAGGAGAGGAGCGGGAGAGCAGGGAGAGGAGGAGAGTGGAAGATGCTTTGAGGCTTCTGCAGGTCCAGCCACGATAGGGGCGCCTGGATCACCGGAGTCCTGGAGGAGGGATGGGGAGCAGAGGGGTTGTGAGGAGCAGAGTGAGTGCAGGGGAGGAGGGTGAGTGAGAGATGGGGAACATGTTTGAGGCACCTCTGGCCACTGCCTGCACACAATTGAGGCGCCTGGATGGCCTTGGAGTCCAGGGAGTAAGGGGGTGAGGGGAGGAGGGGAGGAGGGGAGGAGGGGAGGAGGGGAGGAGGGGAGGAGGGGAGGAGGGGAGGAGGGGAGGAGGGGAGGAGGGGAGGAGGGGAGGAGGGGAGGAGGGGAGGAGGGGAGGAGGGGAGGAGGGGAGGAGGGGAGGAGGGGAGGAGGGGAGGAGGGGAGGAGGGGAGGAGGGGAGGAGGGGAGGAGGGGAGGAGGGGAGGAGAGGAGGGGAGGAGGGGAGGAGGGGAGGAGGGGAGGAGGGGAGGAGGGGAGGAGGGGAGGAGGGGAGGAGGGGAGGAGGGGAGGAGGGGAGGAGGGGAGGAGGGGAGGTGGGGAAGGGGAGGGGGGCATATCCTTTGACCGCCTCGGCACGCTGAGCTGAGCGCAACACGTACCGGCCACGAGCACCATGCAACCTCGGAGACATCTCAAAGGGAAAGCGCCACCACGAGCACCACGTACTGATGCGATGCAAACATGCTGATGCTGATGCTGATGCTGATGCTGATGCTGATGCTGATGCTGATGCTGTCATCTGACTGATCCAAGGCAGTCAGGAACACGTTGTGGCGGTGGAAGGGGCACGCCCCGGCCACAAGCCCCATGGCCCCAGCCAGCTCAAGGTTCAAGAGTCTGGTGCACTCATACATACGCCCCCTGAACGCGGTGACTTTTGAGTCGACTCAAAAGTCACCCAGCTCAAGGTTCAAGAGTCTGGTGCACTCAAACGCCCCCTGAACGCGTACCCTGTGAGTCGCAAACATGCTGATGCTGTCGTCCGACTGGTCGAGCGCCGTGAGGAACACGTTGTGGCGGTGGAAGGGGTAGGCCTCGGCCACGAGCACCATGGCCTCCTGCACCGAGGGCGTGAAGACGATGTGGTACTCCTCGCTCTCCACACCGCACCGCTGCAGGATTCGACGCCTGGCGTGCAGCTCTGTGACACTCACACTCATGCTCAAGTCAAGAACGTCCCGGCTCTCCACCATGATGTCCTGGGGGGAAGGGGGAGGGAAACAGAGGGAAAGAAACGGAGAGGGGGAAGGGGTGAGTCTGACCCGAGGGCTTGAAGATGATGATGTGGTACTCCTCGCTCTCCCCGCCGCACCGCTGCAGGATGCGCCTCCTGGCATGGAGCTCTGCGACACTCGCGCTCATCGAGAGGTGTAGCACACCTTGGCTCTCCACCATGATGTCCTGGGGGGAAGGGGGAATGAAACAGGGGATGAAACAGGGGATGAACCAGGGGATGAAACAGGGGATGAAACAGGGGATGAAACAGGGGACGAAACAGGGGATGAAACAGGGGATGAAACAGGGGACGAAACAGGGGATGAAACAGGGGATGAACCAGGGGATGAAACAGGGGATGAAACAGGGGATGAACCAGGGGATGAAACAGGGGATGAAACAGAGGATGAAACAGGGGACGAAACAGGGGATGAAACAGGGGACGAAACAGGGGATGAAACAGGGGATGAAACAGGGACAGAAGATCCCCTCTACCTTCTCCTCACAACCCATCTCAACTCTCTCTCCCACTCGCGCACTCACCCGGAGCCTGCTCGGATTCAGCAGCGCGCGTCCCGGCTCGGGTTCAGCCATCCCACCCACTCACCTCCCTCCCCCCCTGTCCCGTCCACTCACCCGGAGCCTGCTTGGGCTCAGCAGCGCGCGTCCCGGCTGCGTGGCGGTGACCGTCCTCGAGGGCACAAAGCGCGTGAAGAGGCGGGACTTGGTTTCCGAGGGCGAGGAGGAGGAGAAGGAGGGCGGGGGCCGGTTGCGCTGCATCATCTTGCGCTGCTGCTCCCAACCTTACCCGCTCAACCCTCGCACCCACCCCTCTCCCCCACTCTTTCACTCTCCCTGCCCCCGTCCCTTGCATTTGCTTACCCGGAGCCTGCTTGGATTCAGCAGCGCGCGCCCAGGCTGCGTGGCGGTGACCGTTCCCGAGGGGACGAAGCGCGAGAAGAGGCGGGACTTGGTTTCCGAGGGCGAGGAGGAGGAGAAGGAGGGCGGGGGGCCGTTGCGCTGCATCATCTTGCGCTGCTGCTCCTGCTGCTGCTTCTGCTGCTGCAGCGAGTCGCGCATCATGGGCACCACGTGGCCCGCAGCCGTTGGACTCGCGTGCCCGCGCATCTGGGGACTCGCATCCGCTCCGCCACTGCTACCCCCCCCCCTGCCACCCCCTCCGCTCCCCCCGCCCCCCCCGCTCATGCTGCTGCTCCGTCCGAAACTCGGCCCCGCTGCTACAGGCCCCCCCGGCGCGCTCACCGCGCCAAATCCCCCCGCCTCCCCCTCCGCGTCCCCCTCCTCGTCATCCATCGCCAGCAGCTCCGCCATGGGGGAAAACCCCCCCCCACCGAAGCCGCCCCCGCCGCCATTCGAGCCGCGAAACCCGCCGTCGGGCTCCTCTAGCACGCACGGCATGGGGAAGCCGAGCCCCACGATGCACTCCGTGAATATCGCCGGGTATCGCGCCTTGACGTAATCCTCCACGTAGCGCATCTCGCCGTCCGATATGGGCGCGGACCAGCGCACGTCGAGCGCCGGCTCGCCCTTGTTCCCCCGGAGAGCCGCCATGGCTTCCGCGACTATATGAGGCGGGATCTCCACGCGGCCTTGATTGATCTGGTGGGTTGTGGGGAGGAAGGGGAGGGGGGGATAGGGTGGACGGGGGGGTGAGGGGGTTGGGGGCATAGAGTCCTCCACGTAGCGCATCTCGCCGTCGGATATGGACGCGGACCAGCGCACGTCCAGCGCCGGCTCGCCCTTGTTGCCGCGGAGAGCCGCCATGGCCTCGGCTACGATGTGGAGGAGGATTTCGACGTGGCCCTGAATAATCTGGTGGGATTGGGGGATGTCTATTTTTGAGGCGCCTCAAAAATACTCCTCACGCACTGATTAATCTGGTGGGATCGGGGGATGGGAAGGGGGCGCGCATCTCATCGTCGGAACTGTGGGGAGATGACTTCTGAGTCGACTCGAAATTGGGGAGATGCCGCAGCATATGGGCGCGGACCAGCGCCCGTCCAGCGCCGGCACGCCCTTGTTGCCGCGGAGAGCCGCCATGGCTTCCGCGACTATGTGAGGCGGGATCTCCACGCGGCCTTGGTTGATCTGCGGGGGATGCGCGCGCGGGGGGAGGGGGGGAGGGGAGAAGGAGGGGAAAAAGGGGGGAATCAGGAAACACCGGGGGGGGGGGGGGGGGGGGGGGTGGGGGGGGTTGCGGGGAACGAGGGGAATGAGGCGCGCGACAGAGGGGACGGGCGACCGCCATGGCTTCCGCGACAATACGTCGGCGATTCTATTTTTGAGTCGACTCAAAAATCATACGTCGGCGATTCTACGCGACCCCGATAGATCTGCTCGCGGTGTACGGCGGAGAGGAACTGCGCGAGTGGAGGAGGGGGGAATGGTGAGAAAGAGGCATTGTAAGGAGTTTCAAATTGCGTCTTTTGAGTCGACTCAAATACACCCCGAGAGGAACGGCGCGAGTGGACGAGGGGGGATCGGAGAAAGAGGCGTGGTACGGCGTTTCAAATTGCGTATTCTGTTTGCTCAGGCGGCGGAGAGTCACCGTGGCTAGCTCGACTCCGTGTAGCTTTGCGAATATGAAGCTCGAGGATTTCGGAATGAAATTTGGAGAGGTAGTAGTCATGCGGTTCGACTGTGCGCGGAACTTGGCATGCGCGGAACTTGCCTGTCCGGACGAGCTCTTGTGCGGGTCCGCGGAGACCATCTTGTCCATGACTCCCTCCATGCGCCCACCCTAGATCGGTCTAGTTCTCGCAACCAGAGGCTCTACTCCTTCGACGACCGATGGATGAGTCTTAGAATGCGACTTCCAGCGCAAGGACTCCTTGAAGCTACTTTGTCGTCGCAGCGAGCGATGCTCAGCTCAGGCGTCGCACACGGGCGGCGTGAATGTGCTGCTCAGGCGTAGCGCGAAGGCACGCGAAGGAGCACGAGAAACGACGCTCTGGGACTGGGAAGTTGTGAAGTAAAACAGCGTTGGCCGCCGTTTCCCACTCTCGGCTCAGCCTCACACGCACGACGCTAGACTAGGAACTCAGCCGCGCCGAGCCTTTGGTCTGGTGGAGCCTGGTGGACTGTATTAGACTGCTCGCTAACGACGGCAGCACTGCTCCAGAGCTAGGCTGGCTGGAAATGAACCGAAACAACTCTCGCAAAAATCGTGAATCACCACCATGTCCGCTGGAAGTTATCCCAACGGCCAAAAACAGACTGGAACGATACAGTACAGTATCCTTGAAGATGCAGGTTGCTCTGTCTGTCAGACAGAGCCATGAAAGAATCCGACGAAGTGTGGGAAGGAAGCTGTTCAAGAGAAGACAAGCGAGTAAGTGAGAGTGGACGACATTGTTGAGTGAGCGACGCGAGGCGAGGTGAGGTAGGTTGTGGTTAGTTGAAGGTGAGGTTCTGATTCCCGAATACAGTAGAAGGAGTCCGACCGACCACGGACGTACACGTTGCGAGGCTCATTTTCACCCGATTTTCAGTCAGTTCCAAATTCACGCTTAGGACTCGGATAGTTCCACAGACAGACGATTTCCTGTGGGAAATTTGGACATTAGTGTAGTTACGTTTTTCCATGAAGGCACTGCGATCTGTGCTGAAACTGCCGAAACTCAAAGAGTGCTGGGACTGAACAAGCTTGCAGATTGCGGGAAGGGGTGGCCAATCAAACAAAGTGACCGTAAACGCTCTGTACACTACAGTAATGTACAGTTATTTCTGGGCGATCAAAAATGGCATACAGTATCAAACGACATTTCAAACGGCAGGTCTGATTTTGTGTGTCACCTGCTTGATTGTCCAACGACTGAGCAACTTGGATGTTCAACAAGAGGAGATTCAGCAGAGCCGGGGGAAATTGCCTCCGGTCATGGACAAATCAGACGGCTTCTGCCCACCTAGCACCCAGTCAGCTAACAAACCTAACGACTTCAAATTCGCCCGCCAATGTACAGCCCGCGAAGCTAATGCCACGGCTGTGTGTAAATTGATGCGGAAGTCGTAGCTCGCTCTTTGCGACAGTTGGCAACTGCGCACCTGCTGCACCGTCAAGCAAACAAAATCCGCAGTTTGGTTGTGAAGACCCGCGCCTCCTTTGACTGTGGGTTTGCCTGGGTCTGGCCCTCACTCCCGAGGTATCCTAAGCCACTCCCTCGTTACTGCATTTTCCGTGTTTCCGCTTTGTTTAGGAATGTCTGCTTTTACCTTATGTATTGTATCTGTGTTTTTTTTTTCAACGAAGAGTACTATAGAATTTCACCTTCAGTTATATGGGAGAAATACTGCTTCACATCTCTCTTATTGCCGCCATGCACAATGACGGCTACACGTGGCAGCAATCGGTGACAGACCATGGCATCGCCAACTCACTGCCGTTGGATGAACAGATATGGAATATCTCCGACTGAAACACCCAACCAACAACTATCTGATCCTGGAATCAGACGTCAGCAGAAGACATGTCAGCAGCATCTGAAAACACACTTGTGCATCTCTCGTCTCGTGTATCTGAACAATCAGGAATCTGGTTTAGGGCGTGTCCAGTGCGTACGTATACAACTCCCTTCATACGGTTCAATATGGTTTTCGAAGGTCCAACGTGATGAAGTGCGAAAACCGCTCCTGATCGCGATAGATCCTACTGAACCGTTGTCCGTGTACTGTAAACGTACGCGCTGGACACGCCCTTACCACTCGATTCCTTTACACACCTCCGACTCTCGAGCTGGAGAGGCTGGTCCACATAAAGTCTGCTGAGTATTGTTTCGGCGAATTCCGGCTCTTACGCAGCAATTTCTCCAAGTCAATACTGCCTCGGAGGCCGAACATCTTCTAACTAGCTCGCATTCGGCTAGAGGGAGTACACATAACGTCGTTCGATTGAAGTAGGCTCTTCGTCAATACCATTCTTCTTCAGCAGGAGCATTCTCAGTCATGGCGTTGTGTCTGCGGGGAGGTGCTTCTGCGGTCCCAATTACCGTCAGCCTCGCGAGGTACGATGACGCAGCAATTGCCTTTCGAAACGTCTCACAGGTTTCGTTTCGCGAGCTGTAACCAGGTATAGCTTGGCATAAACAAACCCCGAAACGCGTCGTCTCTATGCCGTTCTCCACCTTTCCTCGTTCCATCCATTAATTGTAACCAATGAAACTCTTTCTCACGTAAATGTGGACATCTGTTCGTCGTAAATACAATCGCGTCCCTCTACACCGCTTCCCCCAGTTATGGAGCGACTACTCGCCGCTTCTCTCCCCACCAGCGGCTGCATCTTTCACCGTTCCGCAAAACTCACCTGACGAATCACCTGAAAGATCGCCTGATGAGCCACGCGTCAGGCCAGCGCACGGCCAGCTGGGTCAGACACGGGTCCATGACTGTAACGGGGGGCAGCGAGTGGGACGAGGAGGACGAGGAGGAATTCGAGGAGGACGAGGAGGAGTATGGGGAGGAGGAAGTGGAGGAGGGGGAAGAGGAGGAAGAGGAGAGGGAGGAGAGGGTGCAGGTTCAGGCGAGGTTGTATGAGGACTCGTCAGGATACAGCGAGGGAGACGAGATGGAGGTGAAGGCTCAGCAGCAGCAGAATGTCGCGCAGCAGGCGGATGAGGGAAAGAAACAGGAGAACCAGCAGCAGCAACAGCAGCAGCAGCAGCAGCAGCAGCCGCTGCAGTGGCTGGCGGAAGGAGCTGCTGCGGCTGTGAAGGCTGCTGTGGAGGGGGGTGCCGTGGCTGCTGCCGTGGGGGCAATGATCGAGGCGAGCCAGCACGCGGAGGAGCACGCGGGAGAGCACTCGGACAGTGACGCGCGGGAGAAGGGCGAGGAATACTCGGCTACCATGCAGCTGGCCATGGGGAACACAGGTGCGTGCTGGCCGTGCATGTTGCGAGCCACGTTGGGGTGATTGCGTGGGGAGGAGCATGGATTGAGGAGAAGGGCTATGGGGAGCATTCCCCGTATACCGTCGGTAGGGAGCATGGTTGAGTTTTCCTCCACCCTGCAGCTGGTCATGATATGGGGAGCACAGGTGGATAGTTGCCTTTCTCCTCCTCCTCCCTCCCTGACAGCTCTGATAAGAAATAGTTCTCGCTCCTCTCCCCCTCCACCCCCCCCCCCCTTGTTTCTCTACCCCGTTACCCCGTTACCCCCTTCCTTTCTTCCGCGCATCTCCTCTCTCCCAGCGCTCATCTACCCCCCCCAGTTGGGCATGAACTACGCTCGCGTGCTTTGAGTTGGCCTAAACTCCCCTTCCCCGCCCTCCCTCCCGTCCCCTCCCCCCCCCTCTTCTCCAGCCCTCCCAGCGGTGGCCTACCGCCACGAGTTACGCTTGAACCATGCTCGCGTGCTTTTAGTTGGCTCAAATGGCACTGCCTTTCCCCCTCCACCCCTCGTTTTCCTCCACCCCTGTCCGCTGCCTTACTACCTCCCAGCGCTCATCTACCGCCACGAGCTGGGCACGAACTATGCTCGCGTGCTTTGAGATGGCTCAAAGAATACTGGCTTTCTCCTCCGCCCCTTTCCGCATCCTTCCGCCCTCCCAGCGCTCATCTACCGCCACGAGCTGGGAATGAACTATGCTCGCGTGCTGCCCAACCTGCTCGTCGGCTCCTGCTTACAGGTGAGTGCCGCCTCTCCGCCTTATTGGGCTCTAGTTTCGAGGTTAGGCATGAGCTATTCTCAGAACTGCCACCCAACCTGCTCGTCGGCTCCTGCTTACAGGCGAGTGCCGCTGCTGCCCCTCCATCCCCTCCGTCTGCTGTCCATGCCACCGGTCGGATCTGAACTTGTACGCGTTATAAGGCGCCTCGCTGCCCTCTAACCACTCCCTTATCCCTGCTATTTACAGTCCCCTCTGGATCTGGACCACCTTCGGGACGTGGAGGGCGTGGGGGCGGTGCAGTGTCTGCAGCGAGACTCCGACCTAGAGTGAGTGCAATCACCACACCCCATGGCAGCACGAGACAGACATATAAGGCCATGTGGTGCGTTTGGGACGTGGAGGGCGTGGGGGCGGTGAAGTGCCTGCAGAGGGACTCGGACCTCGAGTGAGTGCAGGCACAGCCCGCCGTGGTAGCACGAGCATGCGACATGTAATGTAAGGCCACGTGGTGCGTTTGGGGCGTGGAGGGCGTGGGTGGGGGCGGTGACGTGCCTGCAGGGAGACTCCGACCTTGAGTGAATGTTCTATGGCCAGTGATGGAGGCCAGGCCAGTGATGGAGGCCAGGCCAGGCCAGTGATGGAGGCCAGGCCAGTGATGGAGGCCAGGCCAGTGATGGAGGCCAGGCCAGGCCGATGATGGAGGCCAGGCCAGGCCAGTGATGGAGGCCAGGCCAGGCCAGTGATGGAGGCCAGGCCAGGCCAGTGATGGAGGCCAGGCCAGGCCAGTGATGGAGGCCAGGCCAGGCCAGTGATGGAGGCCAGGCCAGGCGAATGATGGAGGCCAGGCCAGTGATGGAGGCCATGCCAGGCCAGTGCTCTACTGCCAGGATGGAGGCCATGCCAGGCCAGTGATGGAGGCCAGTGATGGAGGCCATGCCAGGCCATGCCAGGCCAGGCCAGGCCAGTGCTCTACTGCCTCTATGATCGAGTTCGAGGCAGTGCGTCAGGGATGCTCGTTCACAGTGCTTTTGAGGCGCCATAAAAGGGATGCTCGTTCATAGTGTACCGCCAGAGTGCTCATCATGAATCTCATACACTTTAACTATCACCCTCCTTGGTTGGCATCTCCCACCCACCACATAGTATCCCTCAGTACCATGCTATACACTTTGTCATCACCCCTGACACCACTGGACCGCTCTGTACCGCGCTTCGTTCCTTGGGACCCTTCTTTCTACCTGGCATTTCCTCCTGGGGTTTCTGGTTTCCTCCTGGCATTTTGCAGGTACTTCGACTTGGATATCAACCCGATTATTGAGCGGGCGGCAGAGAGGGGAGACATCCAGCACCTTTGGACGGAGATCAGGTGGGCTTAAGACTCAGGTGGGTCTAAGACTCACGTGGGTCTAAGACTCAGGTGGGTCTAAGACTCAGGTGGGTCTAAGACTTGTTTGAGTCATTTTCGGTTGCACATGCGGATGCAAGTCAGGAAGCAGTGCAATGCCTTCGGCTCCTCCCCCTATCTCTCACCCCCCCTTCCCTCTCTCCTTCCCCCCTCTTTCCCCGCCCCCCGCCGCTTCCCCCTTCCAGGGACTTCGACCCCTTTGATCTGCGCATGCAGGTGCCGAGGGCTGTAGCAGCACTGCACAAGTCAGCAATCATGCTCCAATCTGCCATATCCCCACCTCCCTTCCCCCCACTGCCCTCAGGGACTTCGACCCCTTTGACCTGCGCATGCAGCTGCCGAGGGCCGTGGCAGCGCTGCACAAGGCAGTGATGGAGTGTGGCACGGCGTACGTGCACTGCACTGCCGGCCTTGGAAGGGCCCCGGCTGTAGCGGTGAGTCTCCTGATAATGGCTGTAGCGTGAGTCTCTTCAGTAGTAACAGCACTGCACAAGGCAGTGATGGAGTGTGGGACGGCATGCGTGCACTGCACTGCTGGCCTGGGGAGGGCCCCGGCTGTAGTGGTGAGTCCTCTGATAACAGTTGTAGCATGAGCCTCTGTAGCCGCCACGCTGCACAAGGCAGTGATGGAGTATGTCGCGGCGTCCGTGCACTGCACCACTGGCCTTGGTTGGAAGGGCCCCAGCTGTAGCGGTGAGTCCAGGCTATACATGGGTGTTGGATGTAGCATGGGTGTTGGATAGCATGGGTGTTAGATGTAGCATGGGTGTTGCATGTAGCATGGGTGTTGGATGTAGCATGGGTGTTGGATGCGTGACCTTCAAGCAAGGCAGGCAGCTTGTTACCCTCTCCATCTCGCCTCTCCTCATTGTCTACCCCTTTTGCAACCCCACCACTCTTCAGCTCGCCTACATGTGGTGGATGCGGGACCTGCAACTGGAAGAAGCGAATGAAATCCTGCAGGTATGGAGGGAGGGGAGGAGAGGGGGGGGGGAAGAGAGGACTGAAAACGAGGTGGAAAAAGGAGGGGATTAAGCAGGGGAAGTGAGAGATAGGGGCACCTTGAGCTCGCCTACAGGTGGTGCATGCGGGACCTTCAACTAGAAGAGGCAAATGAAATCCTGCAGGTGTGGCGAGCGGGACAGGAAGTGGGAGGTGGGGCGAGGGAGTGAGGGAGCGGAGAAGGGGAATGCAAGATGGAGGTGGGCTATGGGAGTGAGGGGGAGTTGGGATTGGATTGGGTTTGGAGCAAAGGGGCAGAGTGTGAAATAGAGAGGAGAGATATCATTTATGGCAGGGGCCAAAGGGGTTACTGGAGTTGAGAGAGCTCTAAGAGGTGATTTGTTGCACATCTTTTTCATTCTAAGGGTCTTAAGTTCAGCCTTTTTCTGTACTTGTGTGCCGGCATGTGCTTGTCTCCATCCATGTGCATGTGCCTGTGCATGTGTCTGTGCATGATGCATTCATCTGTGCACAGAAAGTGCGTCCATGTGGGCCCAAGCTCTTTGCCATTCGAGCGGCAGCATGCGATCTGGTAAGAAACGCAGCCTCGGTATAAGCAGCACATGCCTCGTTATAAGCACCTCGTGAATTCGTTAATATGCCACCCAAGATCACAGAGGGGGTGAACATCACATCTGATAACTATTTGAAACAAAGGTCACAATTTTGAAGCAAAATCATGAATGGGATGGTGAAGGTGGCGGCGGGGGCGGGTGGTGCTAGATCCGATTCGATTCTTTTCGAGTGTTTCTCTTCCCTTCCCTCACATCTCGATCACACACACATCCTTCCTCACATCTCACAATCAATCCCCTCGTAACGGTTTAATTAACTGGAGGAGACTGACGCGTGAATGAGACTTGGGAGGTGGCGTTTGTATCGTTCCCCTTGTTCTGCACACCTCCCCACTCCTGCAGCTAGCAGGCAATCCCCTAGAGCCAGTGGAGATCAACTGGAGGAACCGAGGTGTGAATGAGACGGTGGAGGTGGCAGGACTGGACGTGGGCTGGCACCATGTGAGTGGGTAGTGCTCGCTGCCACGTGGCACCATGTGAGTGGCTGGGGGATGCTCTGTGCACATGATGCCACGTACGTGTATCCTGGGTTGGCATGGTATGGCACTCTCTGCGTGTGTGTGCACCGCTCGGTTTGTAACCTCTTTGCCTTCGACACTATTATCACTTATTTTGCACAACACCAGTCTACACAACACCAGCACTGTCCCCCCCCTTCCTACACCCCCCTCCCTCAACCGCACCATTCCTCCCCTCCATCACCCCCTCCATCCCCCCCTCCTCTCCCCTTTCGTCCTTGTCCCCCAGCGCCTGCCATTGACACGGGAGCCAGCATCCAACACATGGTCGCTCATAAGAGAGCTGCCGGTATGTTTCAGTTTCAGTATCACCTGCTGGTAAATTTCAGCTGAGCCGGTAGCAGCACTTCAGCTATGGGTGTGTTTAGAAGTGCATGACGTGTGCAGGCAGTAACTGGTCTATGCATCAAGGCTCTGCTATGCTGCTTCTCATGCCCGCTTTTGTGCTTATATTTGTGCCCAGATTGGCACATACTATTACAAGCACATTGTGAACGGCACACACTGGTCGTACAACCCCGATGCCCCCCTCACTCCACCCGACCGTGACTACAATATCAACAACTATATTGAGGTATGGTACTCCCTTTATAGTGACTGTCACATCACATCTTACAAAGAGAATCCAGCTGCTTCTACAGGTTGTATGATCCTGCTGTGGTTTTCTTTCCTTCTCCCCCTTTCCAACTGCTGAGCAAGCCATTGACCTTTCCTTACCCCACCTGTCCTTCCTCATTGGTTACAGGTGGTTGGTTCTTCGCTTGACCCGGCAGCTCGTGATCTACGGAAGAGGATCATGCAAGAGGGGGCTCCTCTAACCCAGGAAGACAGAGCTGCAGTGGTTGCCAAGATTCTTGAGATTGCGGGGAATCTCTAGACTGTCGTTTTTTATTTCACGTTTACTCACATTGTGCATACCATAATTATTTGTTGCATGCATAATATTTCGCCTTGTGTGGTCTTGAGGCGAGAATCTTGCACAGAATCAAGCTAATCATACAACACATGAATTAGTGCTCTAGGTGTCCCCTTACAACAGTTCAGTGATAAACAGAAGTGTGACAACATGGCTGAACTTAACTGTAAGTGCAGCTGATGCAATGATTGTTAACGTAGAAACGAAATGATTACTAGAGGTGGAAACCTAGAACAAATACTAGTTGGTTGTACTCACTAGAAGCATACCTCAGTCTAGCCTATAACTTCTACATAGATAATATGTATAAGTTGACACACCCCCTAGGCTAGACAAGGGGTGAAACTAAACAAGAAGCAAACAGCTCAGAGCGGCACTACTAGTCCAACCACTGAGGCAGGGGTCTGGAGACCAGTCAGCAAGAATACAACCAAAACTGAAGCAAGCCAGGGTGGCACTACTAGTCCAGCCACTGGAGGTAAGGCCACAAGGCCAGTCTGACAAGCATATATAATAGAGAGTACACAATCAGTATCCTAACAGGGGAGCAGCTATAGGAACAAGACCAAGCTGTACACAGTGCCGCTGATGATCTTTAGGTGCAAGCGCCTTAGTAAAGATATCAGCTGTGTTGGCACCTGAGGCCAAGTGAACTACGCGGGCCTGGCGGCGCTGCTGTAGCTCGCGCAGGAGGAAGTACCGCAGCTGGATATGCTTCGCTCTGCCCTCAAGCCGAGGCTCCTGACACAGGAGTATCATGGCCCTGTTGTCAGCGTACAGGACCGGGGCAGAGCTAGGCCGCTCACCTAAGTCTGTGAGCAAGAAGGTCAGCCAGCGGAGCTCCTGTGCCGCCATGGCACCAGCGTAGATCTCAGCCTCACAGCTAGACTGAGCCACAGACGACGAGCGAGTGGATCTCCAAGAGATAGCACCCGAACCAAGGCTGAAACAGTAGCCCTGCGACGACCTGAGCGTCTCAGCGTCGTCTGCCCAAGAAGCGTCTGTGTGCCCAGTAAGGACCACTGGCCTGCGTCCTCCTAGCACTAACCCCATGCCTGATGTACTAGCAAGATAACGCAAAACCCTCTTAGCGGCAGACCAGTGCTGAGGTCGGTGTCTGCCTGTAGCCACAAAGCGAGCCAGGATGCTGAGAGGGTATGCGAGATCTGGGCGAGTGCAAGTCATCAGGTACATGAGGCAACCCACCAGCTCTGCGTAGGGGCCACTGGGCTCTACTGGCTCCTCAGGAACGGGAGCAGAGAGCCCATGGTCTACGGGTAGAGGTGTGGGCTGTGCGGAGGAGAACTGAAGACCGAACCTCTGAAGGACCTGACGCACCAAGTGTGACTGGGTCAGAGTGATGGTGCGTGCTGCTCTGTCCCTAGAGATCTGCAGGCCAAGATAGCGACGCAGCTCTCCAAGGTCAGTGCAGGTGTGTCTCTTCAGCAGCTCAGCCTTCACAGAGGCCAGTGCGTCCCTGTCAGGAGTAGCGAAGACCAGGTCGTCTACGTAGACAAGGATGTAGAACGGAGTCTGGCCGGAACGCACAAACAGTGAAGGGTCAGCAGAGGACGGAAAGAACTGCAGGTCTGCTAACGTGGCACGTAGCGTGTCGTGCCACTCGCGGGGAGCCTGACGCAGGCCGTAGACCGGGCGCCTGAGAAGCCACTGGGTCCCAGGAGGGAAGGTACCAGTGAAGCCCTGTGGTCGGCGCAGGTAGACCTGCTCGTGTAGGCTGCCCTGAAGAAAGGCAGTAGAGAAGTCGAGAGAGTGAAGCTCGTAGTCACGCTGTGCTGCTACGTGTAGCAGCGCCCGAAGAGTGGTCATCTTCGGGGTCGGGGCGAAGGTCTGGAAGAAGTCAACCCCCTCGCGCTGACTGAAACCTCTGGCCACGTAGCGCGCCTTGAAGACAGGCGGCTCTCCAGGGGGGCGCTTCACCTTGAAGAGCCACCGACCATCGACTACGTTCACCCCAGGCGGGGGAACTGCGTCGACGTAAGTGCCGGTGGATCTCCAAGATGCCATCTCCTGCTCCATGGCAGCTATCCACTGAGAGGCCCAAGGTCCCGAGGTGGCCTCAGCGTAGGTGCGAGGGGTCGGGATGTCGAAGGCGTCTGGGTCACCCTCAGGGACTAACAGCATGGAGCAGAGATGGGGAGCAGCCTCGGAAAGGAAAGCCAGCTCGTACTGCCTGTCCTCTAGGACGTCACTGCCAAGGGCAGGAGCACCCCCGACGGACAGAGGACGGGCAGGGTCAGAGACCAAAGCGGTAGCGTAGTCAAGGCGGCGGGTAGAAGCGAAGTCAGCGACAGCAGCGACAAGCGCGTCAAGGCGCGAGACAGGAACAGCAGGGTCGGTAACAAGAGAGGCAAGGACCCGAGGGACAAGGGGACGAGCAGCACGGAGGTAGTCAGAGAACGGAGGAGGTGCAACAGCAAGGGACGAGGGAGGAGGGGACGGGAGGAGGGGAGGACGAGACGAGTGAGAACGGAGCAACATAGGGTGGGTGGGCAGGACAGGAGAGACGGGACGGGCACGGGAGGGACGGCGAGCCCAAACGTGAGACGGAGGGGTAGGGTCAGGGGACAGCGGAGGAGACACAGGAGGGGAACGAGGAGGAAGACGGGCCGGAGACGAGTCTGGCGGCGGGAACACAGGACCGTAGACAGGGAGGTCAGGAGGCGGTGGGGGAGACACCGGCGCGCGGTCCGGGGAGGGAAGGCCGAGCAGGCGGAGAGCGGAAACCGGCGGCGACGGCTGCTGTGGCGGCGACGACGGCTGGGCCGGAACTCTCGGACCAGCAGAGGCAGAACGACCGTCGGCAGAACACTCAACAGCAGCACCCCCAGAACCAACACCCCCAGAGCGAGAACCCCCTCCAACACCAGCGGCACCCCCAGAAGCCGCAGGACGAACACCCTCCTCCACACCAGCACCCCCAGGGGCCGAGAGCAGCGGCGGCAGTGGCGGCGACAGCGGCGACGGCTGCGGCGGCGACGGCGACGGCGGCGGCAGCGGGGTCGGCGACTGCGACAGTGGGGGCGGAGGCACTGGGGAAGGGGACGCGGCAAGGACGGACCGGGGGTACCACCAGAGTCAGCAGACTCCTCAACGGGGACAACCGACGGGAGGGGAGTGACGTGGGAGACACCAGACGGGGCAGGACGAGGCGGGAGAGGGGCAGGGGCTACCGGGGGAGAGGGAGCAAGGAAAAGGGGGGGGGCAACTGGGAGACCTCGGTGAGGGAAGCGGCGGTAGAAGGAGACGGACTCGTCAAAGGTGACGTCACGAGAGTGGAGGAAGCGGTGAGACGGCGGGTGGTAGAAAAGCCAGTCAGACGAGTCCAGGGGGAAACCGAGGAAGACACAGGGGACAGTGCGGGCAGTGAGCTTGTCCGTGCCAGAGGCACGAACGTGAGCAAGGCAGCCCCAGACGTGGAACGCAGACGCGTCACCGGGGGACCCGGTCCAAAGGAGGGTCGGCGAAACCTGCGGCCGCTGGGAGCGTGGCCACAGGTTAAGCTGGTGAGCCGCGTAGCGAACAGCGAACGGCCACAGAAAATGGGGGGCATCGGCATGGATCATGGAGGTACGGGCGACCTCCATGACCAAGCCGATGCGGCGCTCAGCAACCCCATTCTGCTGTGGCGAGTCCGGCAAGGTGTACGACTGGGTGATGCCCTCCGCACGACAGAACTGTCCAAGCCGACCAGAGGCGAACTCGCCGCCACGGTCGGAGTGGAGACACAACACGGGGAGACCGCGGTGGAGACGCGCAGCTACAACCCACGGGAGAAGAACGTCGGGCACGTCGGCCTTCCGCTCCAGGGGAAACACCGTGGTGTAGCGCGTGTAGTCGTCAACGAGCACAAGGAAGTAGCGCTCACCGCGCGGTCCGGGGACGGGGGCAGGGCCCCAAACGTCCAAGTGCAGGGTCTGAAGGGGGGCAGTAGCTGGGCGCAGCGAGGAGGAGTGAGGAGCACGGCGGAGCCGACCCTCGACGCAAGGCGTGCACGGTGGCGCAGTCGAGGGAGGAAGGGCAGGGAGCGACGCGGGGAGACCTAAGACAAGACCGTGCTGGGACATGTGACGCAGACGCGGGAGAGCAGGGTGACCTAAGCGGTGGTGCCAGAGAAGGGAGGGGTGAGTGAGGGACCGACACGAGCAAGCTGCAGCGACCTGGGAGGACGCACCAACCGGGGGGGAAGCGGTGTGTAGGGTAAACAGACCGGACACCGGGTCCCGGGGGAACGTCGCAAGGGGGGAACCTGAGACAGCCTCAGAACAGACAGCGAACCGCTCGTGCCCGGGGAACGTGGTGGTGACGCCGAGGTCCTGGAGACAGCCGACACCAACCAGGTTCCTGGAGAACGAGGGAACGTGGAGGCCAGTAAGGGAGCCCGAGGGAACTGCCGGACAGGGAAGGGACGTAGAACTGCGCGCGACGACCGGACCCGCAGAGGGGTCAGCGAGAGAGACAACAGCAGGTGCAGCAAGCGGCGTGAGCGTGGAACGGTCGCGGAAGAAGCAGGCAGAAGCACCAGAGTCGAGAGTGAAGGACAGCGACGCAGTGGCGGAGGCCGCGGACGGAGCCGGTGCAGCGACTAGACTAGGCAACCTAGGCAGTCCTACGCCTGTCGCAGCAGGGGAAGCTAAGCTACACAAGGGTGAAACACCTAAACTAGAGTACACATGGTAGTAAGATCCATCAACACTAGAAGCGTCAGCATACAAAGCATGCAAAGCAGCACCTATCTGATCCATGTCTAACTCAAAGATCGGCACGCCCTGGCGGAGCAGGCTGTGCCAGTCAGGGAGGTCCGGGGCCGGGCCAAAGCGACGACGAAAAAGATCGTCGAGGCGGCGGAAACAGTGGGCGGTCGGGTGCGGGCGGCGGCACAGAGTGCCGCGGAGAGGCCCGGTCTGAAGCTGGTACTGGCAGGTCACAGCACTGGAGCCGCTGGTAGACGCCAAGCTGCGCGGGCCGCCACCACGGCCACCGCCTCCGGAGGTGCCGGGCCAACCAGGCGGGAGACGAGCCCACGGCTGCGGCGGGTGCTGCTGGGACGGCGGCTGCGGCTGGGGCTGGTCCTGCTGCTGCTGGGACTGCTGCTCCTGCCCACCGGTGGTAGTCCCCTCAGGCGGACTACCGTCACCACCACCACGACCACTACCACCTGCGTCACCACCCCTACCTCCCTGGCGGCCACGGCCACCGCGACGCGAGCGCTGCTGCGGGTGGACAGCAGCAGCCGTCTCGGTAAGAGGGGTCGCCGTGGCGACCGCAGCCGAAACGTCAGTGAACGTGCACGGGGATGGGGCACAACCGTGAAAGATAGAGACTGCCGGCGCACCGCTCGACTGAGCGATAGTGCGCTGGCGAGTCTCGATCTCAGTGAGGGTGTCGACAAAGGCGGTCAGGGTGAGGTCACCCGGGTGCTGGCTAAGAAAGTGGTCGCGAGCACTAGCGAGGCGGTCTGGCAGGCGCATAGCGATAAAATAGAGCGTCATGCAGAAAGGAGGGGGGAGCGCAGTGAGCTGGGCAGCAGTGCTGGCAGTGCGATAGCGAGTCTCTAGGGCACGCAAATGAGTGGCAAAATCTGCGACAGTAGGGAAGGCAGCCAGGTCTGGGAACAGCATCGGAAAGAGCAAGCGGCCAGCAGAAGCGGAGGCAGGGGTGGAATAGCGAGCAATAACGGCGTCTAAATAAGTTTTGGCCGTTTCAACAGTAGCAAAACGCGAGCGCTCAGACACAGGGAGGGCGTGACTAATAGCAACCTGAGCTACTGCATCGCGTGAGTCCCAGACCGCACAGGCTAGCGCAGCAGTAGAGAAAGCCTCACGGTCATCAGAGGAGGGGTCAGCAGGGAGGGGAGTAGGTGCAGGGGGACGGGGGAGCAAGCCATCAGCATGGACAACCAGAGAGTGGCCATCCTGGCGCTGACCTGTAAGCTGGCGGCGAAGATCGGAGAGCCAGGCGGCGAAGTCAACCGCGTGGCCCTCAGCGTCCAGGCGGAGCACAAAGTCAGCCATCGTGCAGGGTCAGCGGCACAGCTCCTCAGCGACACAGCGGCACAGCAGCACAGCTCCTCAGCGGCACAGGAGCACAGCGGCGCGGGGACACGGCGGCAGCACTCTCCAGTAGGGCAGCAGCTAGGCGTCCCAGCGCAGGCAAGCAGAAGACACAGGGCCCGAGAGGACACGGCAGGCCGAGCAGGGGAGGCGGGCAGGTGCTCTAGGGCCGGGCTGGTGCTGGGAGGGGCCAGGCTGGTGCTGCTGGGGCCGGTCGGGCACGAGGAGGGGCCGGGCAGCGCTGAGGAGAGGCCGGGCGGCGCTAGGAAGGGGCCGGGCGGCACTAGGAGGAGGCCGGGCGGCACTAGGAGGAGGCCGGGCGGCACTAGGAGGAGGCCGAGCGGCACTAGGAGGAGGCCAGGCGGGCGAGCGCTAACAGCAGGCGCGACAGGGGCCAGCGGGCGCGACGGGGCCTAAGGGGCGCGACGGGGCCCAGCGGGCACGACGGGGCCCAGGGGGGGCGCGACGGGGCCGCGGAGGCGCGACGGGGACCAGCGGGCACGACGGGGCCCAGGGGGGCCGCGACGGGGCCTAACGGGCGCGACGGGGCCCAGGGGGGGCGCGACGGGGCCTAGCAGGCGCGACGGGGCCTAGGAAGCGCGAAGGGGCCCAGCGGGCGCGACGGGGCCTAGGAGGGGCGCGACGGGGCCGAACGGGCGCGACGGGGCCCAGAGAGGGGGGACGCGACGGGGCTTAGGAGGCGCGACGATGCCTAGGAGGCACGACGGGGCTCAGCGGGCTCGACGGGGCCCATGGGGGGCGCGACGGGGCCTAGGAGGCGCAACGGGGCCCAGCGGGGGCGCGTTAGGGCCTAGGGGTCGCGACGGGACCCAGTGGGCGCGACGGGGCCCAGGGGGAGCGCGACGGGGCCTAGGAGGCGCGACGGGGCCCAGCGGGCACGACGGGGCCCAGGGGGGCGCGACGGGGCCTAACGAGCGCGACGGGGCCCAGGGGGGGCGCGACGGGGCCTAGGGGGCGCGACGGGGCCTAGGAGGCGCGACGGGCGGAAGCGGTAGGCGGGGGGATCCTAACCTAAGCGTGATACCATGTTAACGTAGAAACGAAATGATTACTAGAGGTGGAAACCTAGAACAAATACTAGTTGGTTGTACTCACTAGAAGCATACCTCAGTCTAGCCTATAACTTCTACATAGATAATATGTATAAGTTGACAATGATTACTACAAAACACCCTTTTACGTAAAAACTATTATCAGCTGGTAACTAGTCGTTAAGGAGGGTTAGAGTCGTGGCAGCTCATGAATGAATACTAACTAGAAGCATGCTGCAAACATCATGTTGTGTTCTACTCTTCGTCATCTGTGATTGTATCGAAGGAGAATGGTTGAAACTTGTAGCCATCTCCAGTGTAGAACTTGTTCATGAACTCAACCCAGTGCAGACGAAGAGCGTGCAGGAAAGCACTGAGAGTCTCCATGAGTAGAAGCACACCGACAGTTGCTGATGCGAAGACAAAGAAGCCAATGATAATGAAGATGATGTTTCCAGACCTGCAGGGCAAACGGGATCGAGTGAGGCAGAGTCTAAATTCCTGTCTTACCGGTATTACCGCCAAGCTAACAGCCACCAGACAAGGGGAGCAAACCAAGATGTTGCTAGGAAGATGGAAAGAGACAGGTGCAACTCACTCAAATGCTGGAAGCAGGACTCGCTCAAAGAAGACAGCTGAAAGCTCCGCATGTGCCAAGCTGTTTCCATGGATCCATGGTTGTTTGACAACAGCAGAGGCGGGAAAAGGCCAGAGCCAAGGTTTAGGCAAGTCAACACATGCAGTGCATGATTCAGAGGTTTAAGGAACTCAAATGAGTGAGTGGATTGACTAGAACTTATGCAGGCTGAGAAACAATGCACAGCAGGCTGCACAAACAGGGGCAGAGAGGGATTGGCAGCATACCTGAGGGCCCAGAGACGCAGGTACGATGCCGTGTTGGAGACAGCGCCCAGTACAAACTCAATGGTATGAATCATCTGATGCACCATCACCTCTCCGAACTCAAACTCATCCTCATGGTGATGCTGCTGCACGTGCCCCTCCTCCCCTGGATGCAGCGCCTCCATCTCATACAGTTCATTGTCTGAGTTCAGTGCTGCGTAGGCTCGCCCTTGACGCTTCTGCACGCAGGAGTTTAAGGCACGTAAGGCAAGTACCATGTGAAGGGGGAAGACGGAGCGGGGGGGCGGGGGGGCAGACAAAGGATGCAAATTTGGGGGTCAAGTTGCTTGGTTACACCAAGTGACTGGGGCAATGAAGAAAAACGTGGTAGAGTCCATGCATGTGTGCTGCAGATGAGACTCAGGTGCAGCAGCTTCAGCAGCTGACTCACCTTCATGTGCTCAGCTCGTAGAATCAGCGGCTTCGGGAAAAGCATCCATGGAACTGAAACCAGTGCAATAAGCAACAGAACGATCTGCAAGCATGGATGCAAGGGCAGGAGGTCAGTGGCGAATACTTTGAATGCAAAGAAGCAGGTCTGCTATGCCATGAGAAAATGGGTGAACTGACCTGGAGAGTTCCTTGGCCCCAGAACAACTGGTTCTCTCCGAGTGGCTCAGCGGGGTTGAGGAACATGTAGATCATGACGTGGTACAGGTCAGCTTGAGACGCTGTGACCCACTTGACGATGATGAGCAGAGAGAGGTAGCCGAACAGCGAAGCCAGAAAGAGGACCTGTGGGATGAACTCGTACCTAGAAGGGGTAACAACATACACATGCATGCGGATGGATACAAGTGAGGAGACATCGGACTAAAACACGAGCCTTGGGGGTTAAAGGGGTGGAAGGGGAAATAACAGTGATTTGAACAGAAGAAATGACATCTGAATCACACATGAAATGGACAGGTGCGTAAAGCACACACCAAATGTTGAGAGGCAGGTCAAAGAAGAGGGCGTTGCAGAGGCTGAGACCAAGGCCCAGGAACATGTGAGTGACTCCCAGCACAATGCTCATCTTCATCTTTAGCGAGTTCAGAAAGGGCAGCTCTGTGCGTGAGCCCTTCCACCGGGGGTCTACCCCAAAGAGATATGTGTTGCCTGTCTTAACCAAACCAGCAGAGGCAGCATCACTGGGAAAGACGAAAGAAGGGAAGGGAGAGATGGGGGGGAGAGGGGGGGAGGAGGAGAACGCGAAGGGGGGTGGGGTGGGGGTGGGGGATAAAGTGGGGGAGACAAAGAAAGGGGAAAGGGAGTGAGAGTGGGTGAGGCAAATTGAGAAAGAGGGCGATAAATGGCAGCGTGCCGACGGTGGCAACGGATGAATAGTGCGTGTCTGCTGGTGAGAATTGAGAGCTATCATCGACATATGAGGTCCAAAGAAGGGTGACTGTACCCGCAGTCTGGGGAGCGGCAAGTGTATGCCGAGCCACCAAATATGGCAAAGTCGAAGGCGACAGCAAAGAACTCGTTGTAGATGAAGCCAGTGTAGATGGAGAAGATAGACATGAGCAGGATGAGATAGCGGCCTCCATAAACCATCTCCATGATATCGCCAAGTTTCTGCAGCATAGGAACCGAATCAGGTAACAGGTTTGATATTCGTCAACTGCGAGATGGTCTTAAGTATCCATTTTACTGTTTCAAAAGGCCAGAAAAACGTGTAAACAGAAGCTTCAAAATTACCTGTGAGCCCAACTTCCTCTCGTTCTTGACAAGCCAAAGGGATGCAAGGAGCATCAGGATGCCATGACCCCAGTCACCAAACATGACGGCGAAGAGGAAAGGAAAGGTGATGATGGTAAAAACTCCAGGGTTGGCCTCCCGGTACCGTGCCATGCTGCCACAAAGTTGATGAAACAATAAGAAAAGTCAGTGCTCCTAGCAGTGGCTTCCAAAAACAGTGGGCACAGGCTGTGCAATGCAAGAAAACTCACCCGTAAGCATCGATGATCCCTTGGAAAGCAACAGTGAACTTGTTGGTCTTAAAATACGTGGGAGGGGACTCGCCAGACCGAATCGTCTGGAAGATGGTACCCACGTCGGCCTTGCTCATGGTCACTGCACGATGAAGAGCATCTTGAATCTGCAGAATGCCAGGCACACCAGTTATGACTTATGCAGTTTATGTAATGCCATGTGGTTAATTTTTGTTCTCTCAGCTTATTTCAGTATTCTGCCACCTGTTGATGCTCAGCAGACGTACCTCGGACTTTGCATAAACAGGGCACCATGCCTCTGCCAGAAGGCACTTGCGAGTGACATCAATGGACAGCTGGTTCAGTATGTGGTAAATGGCCTTTTCCCTCCGAACCTGCTCATATGGTGCCAAAGCTTGGGGTCAGTTCAAAAGGCAGAGAAATAGGATGGTTGATGCTCAGCAAGAAGAGCATGCATTAAGGGTTGCTTACCAGGCTTGCCCAGTTCTCAATCTGGTAGCTTATGTTGTTCAGCAAGCTATCTCTGTGTCTGTTGCCTGCATCAATGGTGGTCTGCAACTCTGATAACCGTGCAATCACCTGCCATCCAGACGGGTTGTTCAGACTGGGACAAGACGTGGATGGACAAGGAAAGACTGACGAATGGAGAGGTGTCCTAAATTGATATGGAACGTCACCTCTGAATGCATTTGCCTCTGCTTCTGTGGGTCCTCTGGGAAAGGGTAACGATTTGCACCGAACGCCTCACAGATCTTCATGATCTTGGTCCGAGCTCGCTCACCAGCAAAGAACACAACGAAGACCACCTTCTCCACCTGCAAAGACAAAGCATGCCTTAAAACTTCGCCTGCACGACGTATCGTCTATCATCAGCATACGGATAATTTTCATACCTCTTCTGCTGTTGCCGGATCCACTACTGGCTCGTCAAGCTCCTCCTGCTTAAGGTACATGTTTCCACGAGTTGCTCGAAACAGAATCCTCTCGAATGTTGCAGCTTTGACCTTAGGGACAAGCCCTGTAACGAAGCCAAGGCGCATCTGCTTGCCTGGGTCTGAGACCATTTCCTGCGAAGATAACCAGAGTCAAGCATACAAGCAATTCAGAGCTGCTGCGAGACTGAAATTGGCTACCTGAGGAAGAGACTGCTCAAGTGAGTTCGTGTGACCAGTATCATGTACCACCTGCTCCAATAGCAAAGCTGTGTCAGATGTTATTTCCCGGCCTGAGCTTGCTTCTTCAAACTCTCTCTGGTGAACAGCAGCGTCCATCTGTTAAAAAAAGGACAAAGAGTTTAGCATGACATGAGGATATACGACGAGCCCATCCAGAAACTAATATCGAAGTCCGGATAGGACTAGCGCAACCAATTCCAGAATCGACTTAAACCAACAACCTTTTCAAGGACGAGCTGTAATTCATTCAGCTCATTTCGGCTTCGGAGAAGCTTCTCAGCGTTAGCATTTATCTCCAGCAATTCCGCCTCCAGCTCGGCCAATTTGATCTGCATAGAAGGTCACCAGGAAATATTAGAGCTCTTTTTGAATGAAACGACTTTTTTCCAGTAAATTAAGCGTCTGGCCATCTCAAACCCCTTTATCAGCCACCGTGATTTGTTAGTTCATCGACTGATCATCTAGCGGGAGTCATACGCCAATATGCAAGCAATCCAGAGCAATTATACCTCCAAGTCGTCAAGGTCAAAATCCTTGTCCAAAGGCGCTGGACTACTGGGAAGAATTCCGGCCTTCACGGATTGATCCTTGAAATAGCGAAGCTTTCGAGCCATTTCCCCGCATCGCTTAACCTGAACACCGTCATCGACGCATTAAGGGACGAATAAGACAGCGACTTCATGCTGCAAGACTGATCCTGTTGACGACATGCAGCGTAATCCGTGGTCCTGCTGAAATTCACGAAAACCATCGCAGCAGCTACTGAAATCAGGGAACCTGTAGACTACTCTACCTGATTTGCATAGGTTCGCTGAAATGGGCTCTTGTCCGGATTTAACTGCACAGTGTGAATTTCGGAAAGGTTACGGTCGATGTTATCGAAGCCCATTCGAGAGGGAAACTCGGAAACATTACCCCAACATATGGACGTGGCAGAATGTAAAATGGCAGATACCTACATCCCTAAACTGCAGTAGACCGATCTCCCCAAGATGAGCGATGGTGTTATGTGCAGCTTCGGCGGGAATGATAAGCTGCACTAACTGCATCTCCTCGGACCGAAAAAGGTCCATCGGCATGTCTGGAAGCATGGCTACGCTCAACAAACGCCGGAGCCTACACCACAGAAGCCAAAGCTTCCTCCTGAGCTTGAACCTGAATTTCGACACGATGACAAGATCGACGCCTCTCTAGAGGCATGCACACATTTCACCGAACAGCATAGCGAGCAGAATGTCGGAATCAGTAAGGCCTTTTCTAGAGCAGCAGCAATACGTGCTTCAGTAACACTAAGCCAGCGAGGAGCTTGAATCAAAATGGAATCTAGGTCATACCTTGTGAAACCAAGGAAGAATGGTGGCTGGTGAGGTTGGTTTGGTGCAGCGAAACTCTGAGATTTGGCGGAGGAGAGCATTCATCGGTTCTAAGCGGTGTCAGGCAAGGGAGAGCCAACCAAACATGCAGAGCCAAGCCACGGAAATGGTTTCAGGTGGCCCAACTGAAATTGAGCAAAAACCGCCACGCCAGCAGGCAGACAGAACACAGCTGAGCGGCTTGGCGAAGGGAGGTTGGAGATTAGTTACCCCATAGGGCTTCGCTTGGCCACTTGCGAAGGCTAGTTGCTGAGTGTGCTCCACTGGGAGCCAATCTTCAGAAGTGACGTCCGCGGACCAATTGCAAATCAATATAATGTACCGGAATGGAGGAACATTTCACAAGTGCTGACATAATAAATGTACAAACCATACTACCCAACCCAACTACCAGTTTCCCTGCCGGTACTTCCCTACTTCGTCCTAAGCATCACAACGGTGCCGCATTCTTGGCTTGTTGGCACACAACACAATGCAATTGCTCTTCACAGTCCTCGCTTTTCATCGCGGTTCCCTCCCTTTCAGGCCAAACCTTCGGCTTATCCAACCTTCGATCCAAGAAGTTGCTCCCTTGGCTACTCTTCAACTCTGCTGCTGAAGCTGTATTTGAGCCTTCGATTTTTGCTTTCGCAGTGCTGTCCATATTCTCCTCTGTCAGTCCTGCTCCTTTCCCCTCTGCCTTCGCCCCTCCCATTTCCCCACCACTCCCTCGTTCTCCAAGCTTCAGAGCCACCTCCAAGCACGGCACATGATATGCATGCGAGCAGAAAAAGCACGCTATCCCCTGCTGGCTCAGATGCAGTGCATCTAGACACAAGCTGCACCGGGGACCCCCACCCAGCAACTCCTGCTCTCCGTCCACCTTCCTCTTCCACTGGTGGTTCCCTTGCGAGCCCCCTTCCCTTCCCTCCAACCTACCTACCCCCCCTCTCCTCGTGTCTTGTTCAACCATTCCTTCCTCCCTCCCTCTGGGTACTTCACTTCCTGCTCTTCTCAGCCCCTCCTTCCTCTCCACACCCCCTCCCCTCTCTCCCTCAAACACCTCACTCCAGGCTCTCAGCAACCCCCCTCTCCCCCTCTCTTCCAATACCCCTTTCCCCATATCAACCTGGTTACTACCACTCGTTCTGCCATCCGCCCTGTAACCTTCACCAGTCTCGATAGGAATTGTTGCTATTCTCAGCCCTCCAGATGCAGGGAACAGCGGGGTCGAGGCCCATTGCTCGCTCCACATAGCCTCATCCTCCTCCTCCTCCCCATCCTCCCCCTCCCCCTCACTCCCCCCCTCCTCATCATCCTCATCCTCTTCCCTGTCGTCTGCTTGAGATATGGAGGGAAGAAAACCGTCAGAACCAGCAGCTCCTTCCCACTGGTTCAATCTCCCCCCCCCTGCTCCTCCTCTTCTCACTCCTCTCCCCCCCACTCCTCCTCTTCCCTCCATTCCTCCAAAATCAACACCAGCTTCCCCCATTTCCAACTGTCTAAACGCCAGAGCCACAGCTTTCGCCTCCTCCCTCTCCTTCTTCCTCCTCTCCTTCTCCTCCCTCTCCTCAATCCCTTGCTGCCCCTCGCCCTGCCTCCCCCTCCCAACCTGGCCCATCTCACCAACCTTGTCACCCGTACCAGTAGCCTTTCCCATGAATGCCCTTCTTCGAAAAGGCTTGCGGGAATAGAAACCAAGTAGAGAAGTCACAGCAGCAGCAGGAAGAAAGGATCCAGGGGAGGCTTGGGAGGAAGAGGTCAACGTGACGGCTGCTGTTGCAGTGGAGGATGGTAGAGGGAGAAGGGGAGGGTGGGGGAGAGTAGAGGAGGAGGAGGAGACGCGGGTGGCAGACTGTGATTGGAGGATGAAGAGGCAGAGGAGGTCGACACACTCGGACTCCATGAGGGCAATGCAGCCTTGGCGGAGAGATATTTCTGTTGCTGAGGCTGCCAGCACTGCCAGCAGGTGCTGCCGCAACCTGCCACGTGCGAAGCACACAAAACAAATGACTCTCCATGGCTGGCAGAAGCTGCTGCAGGTTAAGGACATGTCGTGGCAGTCAAACAGGCTATGGAGTCTTTGTTAGTACTAGCCGTGTTGGGTAATGAATAACCTGTGCCATAAGATTCATTCGGCGACCGATGAGAAAAGTGAGGTCCCGCTTACTCTTTTAGGTAAGTATTTGGTGCGACTCCAGCAAGCAGTTGCTTCGGTGTGAAAATGTCTGAAGCTCGCTCCATGAGTGCTGTGACCTGAGAGAAGGGGATGACAGGGAGGTGTCGATGTCAATTAGTGAAGCAAATGTGGATGAAGCATGGAGATGGAGTGGAGGCACAGACTGGTGGAGTGGTCTAGAGGGGAACAGAATGGCAGCAGATTGTAAAGCACAGGTGGGGAGTCAGACTGGAAGGAGCTACTAAGTGTGCTTGTAAGCAATTCGTGAAAAAAAATGGCGTAGCACAAGGAAGCAAAATCGACTGACGGTGAGATTCTTTAAAAGACTGAAGGTGGCCTCGATTGACAGGGGGGTTTTGCAATGCCAGACAGGTTCTGGGACGAAGGCATACCAAGCAGGGGTTAGTGGCGGATCGCTTCAGGAGAAACTTCCAGACGTATGGTTCTTTCACCTCCCGAGCTAACATAATTGCCTGGAGGAAGCAGAGGAGAGGAGGGAAAGGGGAGAAGGTGAGAAAGCGCTTTTGAGTTGACCAAAAAACATAAAATTCCAGACGTATGGATCTCTCACCTCCCGAGCTAAACAGTATTGCCAGGTGGAAGCACAGAGGATAGGACAGAAAGGGGAGAAGGTGAGAAAGCGGGGAAGAGATGGTGGCATGGCAACACATTTCAATAGTGTCACAGGGTTGACAAGAGCGACGGGAGGTGATGTCCTTGTGCTTTGAGGAAGCGGAACTCACCCTGTTAACTTCCTTGAGCCCGTCCAGCAGTAACGCAAGTGCTTCTTTGTAGTCGCCCATGCGAGTCAGCAGAAACACTTGCTCCTCCACCAACCCCCTTTGCACGCACAGGTTCAGCGCCTGACGGGGAGCGGTTGGGAAAAAGGGACTGGAATTTCGAGTGAGGGGAGTAGCCATGAAGAGAGTGGTTAAAGCAGAAGCACCTGCTCCTCCACAAACCCTCTTTGCACGCGCAGGTTCAGGGCCTGGAAGGGTTGGGGGAAAGGGAGTTAGCCAAGTTGCCAGGAGGTCAGTTTGAGGCTCATGTCAAGAGTGAGCAGAAGCAGCTGCTCCTCCATCAGCCCTCTTTGCACCCACGGGTTCAGTTCAGGAAATGCCAGGGAGCGGTTGGGGGAAAGGGAGCAACCAAGTAGGCAGGATATCAGCTTCGAGGCTCCTTCAAAAGAGTGAGCAGAAGCACGTGCTACTCCACCAGCGCTCATTGCGCACACAGGCTAACCTGGCCCGCACATCCTAACAAATTATTATTCGCGTGAGGCTAGTACTTTTGTGTCACTCACAACTTGCAGATGATAATGGTCGGATGATCGCAGGAAGGTCAGTAGCAGGCGGGACGACTTTTGAGTTGACACAAAATTCACCGCGCTCTGTCCTCTGCACTCTGCACTCCGTGCGCTGCCCCCTGAGCGTGAAAGGATGGTATCTGTGGCACTCACATCTTGCAGAGGATAATGGTCGGATGATCGCAGGAAGGGCAGCAGCAGGTGGCGGTCAAAGTCAGCATACAGCTCAACCTGTAAGTGGGTGGGGAGACAGAGAAGCACAGGAAGAGAGTGAGAAGTGATGGGGAGGGCAGCAACAGGAAGGGCAGCAGCAGGAAGGGCAGCAGCAGGAAGGGCAGCAGCAGGAAGGGCAGCAGCAGGAAGGGCAGCAGCAGGAAGGGCAGCAGCAGGAAGGGCAGCAGCAGGAAGGGCAGCAGCAGGAAGGGCAGCAGCAGGAAGGGCAGCAGCAGGAAGGGCAGCAGCAGGAAGGGCAGCAGCAGGAAGGGCAGCAGCAGGAAGGGCAGCAGCAGGAAGGGCAGCAGCAGGAAGGGCAGCAGCAGGAAGGGCAGCAGCAGGAAGGGCAGCAGCAGCAGCAGGAAGGGCAGCAGCAGGAAGGGCAGCAGCAGGAAGGGCAGCAGCAGGGAGGGCAGCAGCAGGAAGGGCAGCAGCAGGAAGGGCAGCAGCAGGAAGGGCAGCAGCAGGAAGGGCAGCAGCAGGAAGGGCAGCAGCAGGAAGGGCAGCAGCAGGAAGGGCAGCAGCAGGGAGGGCAGCAGCAGGGAGGGCAGCAGCAGGAAGGGCAGCAGCAGGAAGAGCAGCAGCAGGAAGGGCAGCAGCAGGAAGGGCAGCAGCAGGCGGCGGTCGAAGTCGGCGTACAGCTCACCCTGCAAGTGGGTGGAGAGACAGAGAAGCATGGGAAGAGAGCGGGAAACGATGGGGAGAAGTCAAGGGAGTGAGAGGCACTCAGGGAGAGATGGCAGCGATAGTGCAAGGAAGGACAGCAGCAGGCGGCGGTCAAAGTCAGCATACAGCTCAACCTGCGGGTGGTCGGAAAGAGGGTGGGAGCCGACAGCGATGGAGAGATGATTCGAGTTATCTAAAAACGAAGCCTAAAATGGATGAATAGAAACGGAAAAGGGGGAAAACGGCCACCTGACCTGCATGGGATGGAATGCCGTTGACGCCTCGGGCATTCGCTCATACACCTCATGCAGGTAGCAGTGAAGACTCCTAAGCGATCTTACACTATGGCACAATCGACTCACCTGCATGGGATGGAAAGCCGTTGACGCCTCGGGCATTTGCTGAAACACTTCGTGCAGGTAGCAGGGCAGACTCCTAAGCCACCTTAGATCATGAGGCATTCGATGAGGCAATCGACTCACCTGCATGGGATGGAAAGCCGTTGACGCCTCCGGCATTCGCTGAAACACCTCGTGCAGGTAGCAGTGCAGCGCCATGCGCCTCTCCCTCCCTGTCAGGATCTCACTACCCGCTGGCGAATCCTCATATGCTGGCGAATCACGCAGTGACAGCACATCGGCAGAGGGTTCAGGTGGTTCAGGCAAGCCAAGAGCCGAAGGGCCATCGACGCACAGCAGCTGGCGGACGACGGTTTCGGGCGGCGCAAGCGCGATGTTGTCGGCGAGGAGGGCGGCAGTGCGGCGGGGGTGGATGAGGAAGAGGGAGGGCAGGCGGTGGAGGTGTAGGTGGGAGGGGGAGAGGAGGTGGCGAACGAGACGGTGCTCCCGAATAAACTCAAACACATCGGGGCCCGGCCATCTGATAGACTCTTTAGGGGATGACCCGAGATCCCTCTCACTGGTGTTGCCTCTGTCTGGTGACCCCACGTCTCCCGCCTTTCTGCCTGCAATCTTGCCATCTGACACTGAATCCACGCGAAGATTCTGATCCACGTCAGCATGGTTCGCCCTGGAACCTTGGGGATATCCGTCCACGTCCGCATGCACGTGAGCAAGGTCTGTCGGGTGCCCATGGGGATCCCCGTTCAAGTGAGCGTGGTGCTGCCTGTGCTGAGCCACCAGCAGGCGCAGGTAGACGTCCAGAGCTTCCACGAAGTCCCGGTTCCGCACATACAGGCCCGCTAGCAGCTGCCAGGGGGGGAGAAAACGTGAATGCGAGGGAGGAGGGAGGGACAAAGGTCTGTGGGAGCAGAAACAGGTAGACGTCCAGAGCAAAGCTGTCAAAGTCCCTGTTGCACACAGACTGTGTTAGGTTTTTTACCATTCTCAAAAACCTCATACAGGTCCGCTAGCAGCTGACGAGGGAAGAAGGTGAGGGAGGGGTGAGTTGGGGAGGGATGAGAGGTTAAAAGTCGAAAAAGCAGGCGCAGTTAGACGTCCAAAGCTTCAATAAAAACCCTGATGCGCACATACAGGCCCGCTAGCAGCTGCCGAGGGAAGATGGGGGACGGGGGCAGGGGAAGGGGCAAGTTGGGGAGGGGTGACGGGGGGCAGAGAGGAAAGGGAGGTCAAAGGATAGAGGGAGCATATGCAAGTAGATGTCTCGAGCTTCCCCTAAGTCCCTGTCGCGCACATACAGGTCGGGAAGGAGCTGACGGAGGGAAAGGGGAAGGGGATGGGGAGAAGCGGGGGGAGACGAGAGAGAGGGCAGGAGGAACGGAAGCCAGCAATCACTGCTCCCAGGTTGCACAGGGAAGGGGGCCAGCGAGCTATGGTAGGGGGGGAGCAGACCAGAACATGCACACAAGAAGAACAACCACACACATCAGCCACCACCGGCACCGGTATGCACTTACCTGCAGCTGTATCGCACTGCCGTGCTGCAGCAGCTTCCCCTCCGCGCCAGCGATCACCGCTCCCAGGTTGTAGAGGGAAGGGGGCCAGCGAGCTATGGTGGGGGGAATCTGGCGGTGGTAGGAGGAGTGGGGGGAGAGGAGCAGCTCCACTAACACGCCCTGAGAGGGGCCGGGGGAAGGGGGTAACGGGGGGGGGTAAGGGTGTATATGAACCACTTATCGAGCGAGTTATGGTGGGGGGAAGCTGGCGGTGGTAGGAGGAGTGGGGGGAGAGAAGCAGTTCCACTAACACGCCCTGAGGGGAGGGAGAGCAAATGGGGGGAAGGGACGGGGGAGAGGAGGGGGGGGGGGATTTTTTTGGGTTGATTCCAGAAAGCATCGAAGGATTAAGTGTGGGGGTACACTTGTTGTGCAGCGCAACACTAGATAGGTTGAGAATAATGCTTAAGGAGTCCATTTTAAGAATCAACGTGAAACGCGGAGAGGAGGAAACGTTCCTGCTTACCTCGTACGTGGCAGGGCTGAGCTTTGGGTTCGAAATAGGGACATAGGGCAGCAGCGAATGCAGCTGTTGCAGGCGAGCGAAGTTGCCGATCCACCTGGACAAAGGGACGGACGGACAAGGTATCAGGGGGGAATTCTGGCATGGGTGAGAAGACCTCATAGTACAGTAGTAAAGCGGAACTAGCCATATGCCATTACACTCGCCGTTCACATTTAGATGCAATCTCTCCCCTACCACCTACGTGCGACCTCCCACCATCACCTTACCACCTCCTGCCATTGCCATGCAATCACATCGCCTTACCGCCTCTTACCATTGCCATGCGGACTCAGAGTTCCCAAGGGCCGAGGGACATAGCGCTGCAGCTTCCGCGAAGCGTCCATGCATCAGAAGGTGGTCCAGGTGCCGCTCACGACCCTGCCACGTGGCGGATGTTGGAGAATTGGCGCAAAAGGGAAAACTTTGGGAGGGTAGCTGGTGGAAACCTACAAAACTGGGAAGGTAGCGGTGCGAGGTGGTACAGTACTGAGCGTGTGCAAGTGAAGGGTTAACACCAGGAATGCTAGTTCGAAACGGGTGACTCCGAGGAGTTCAGAAAAAAGCTGAAATGGGAGCATAAGATGTGATGGAACGGAAATGAATGCAGCCAGTTTTTCCAGGTCATAATGCAGATGGCTGAAACGTTCAGATACATCAGACCCTGAGTCGAGATACCCACGAACGACGACAACGACGACTGGAATCATGCAATGATTAACGTGTAAATCACAGGCGAACGACAACGACGACTGGAATCACAGGCGAGCGACAACGGACAGCAATGGAACGTCTGAACAGTCCAACAGAAGCCCATAAATGTCGTTTGGAGGTCGCTCTGAGACCGTTCAGTCCGCCGTAATGCGACGGAGACGTAGAAATGAGAAGCCACGCTGGAATGGACTAGCGGACTAGCCATCGGGCCAAGCGATGAAACGAACTAGGAACGGACTAGATTCGCTAATGACCACAATCCCGGAGACTTACCAGGAATCTCTGAAGCATCTCCATAGCTCTTGATGGCTTCACCCAAGGGACGTTGGACAAAAGAGCGAGAGTCTCTCTTCACGAGCAAAGCGAATGGTACGACGCGACGCGACGCCTAATTACTTCATCCGAAACGCATCGTCACTGTTGCTGGCTTGAATTCGTCTTCTCGGTTGCCAACGGTCTTAGTTGCATATCCCAGTCGCGCCGACCTTACATCACGGGGATGCACGGTGGATATGGATGGTCATCAAGCTCGAGATTGGTTGCGGAAGAACCGCCTGATAGGATGGATGAATCAGAAAAAGAAACAAGCCGCCATGCCTGCATAAGTGTGTCATGCATGCATTGCAGTCCCATCTGCTGGCCTCATTGCTTTCCTGACACTTCGCTTTCCTAGCTTCTGACACTTGTGTGTCAGGGAACAGCAATCCCTGAGTTGGGTGGGTGAGGTGAGTGAGGAGGAGGTCCAGTGTGGAGGACTGGAGGGAAGACAGTTCAAGTGATCATGACCAAAATGGGATACTTCTCACCATTCTGTACCCATTTTGATAGTCTGCGTATACCATAAGTTAATTCTTCCATGATGTTGTGCTTGCTGCAAAAAATATCGATGAAGCATAAAAAAAAGGGCAATTTACAAAACAACAATGTGACTGAAATATAACGCTAGGCTTCTCCTCAAAGTTTGAATGTCATGCTCTATTAGGCCAACAAATGCTGCAGGGAGGGAGCCAAAAAAAGTGTCAGAAACTCGGTCACTAACCACTGAGTTAAAAGGGCTTGTTAATAGCGGGTCAGTTCAGTGCGCCCATAGCCCCCCAGGCTCTGCACCTGTGGCCCTTCCCCGAGGATGTTCTCAAGGGTAACCCCCAGCGGGTCACTCGACGCCCCCCCTCGCTGGGATAGATGGAAGACACGAGCGCCTCTGTAGCGCTAGCACTGGGAATTCAACCCGAGTCACCAACGCTCTAATAGCATGTCAGAAACTCAGCCACTAACCACTGAGTTAAAAGGGCTTGTTACCGTATTCTCCCGGATACAGCACCCGCTGGAATTAAGCTCACATGGGTGGCTTGAGCGGGTATGGGTGTTTAATTAGACTGGATCTAGTTACCACCCTACTTTTGGGCTTGAAAACAATTGAACACCCCCCGCCACATAGAATCCTTATTTCGACAGGGAACAACAGAATTTGCCATGCATAGTTGCGTGCGTAAATGTAAGGGCAAGTGGGGGAAACGAGCTGGTGGTCAACCCGAATGTGTCCGAACGGGGGGGGGGGGAGGGGGAAATGTTGAAACCTCGAAATCCAAATTGTTCATTCTCGACTCTCCCACCCTCCCGCCAAAACAAACATCCGTTGCCGCCCACTAATTGGAGGCATTAAGTACTAGGCCTGTAGCACTCGTTGATTGGCTGCTTTGCCAGCCTCGTCCTTGACTCTACTTGTTTAGCTGACGATGTGGCAAGCAGAAGGGCTACATTGTAGGGTACGAGATGAGGACACAAGATGTTGATATGTGACTCAAAACAAAGTGGTGTAACATGCACAACTATTTGGAATTGAAAAATGCATATGCACGTTCTATAGAACCATGGTCTTATTTTTTTTTGCCTTTAATTCCACCCATCCCAAAATTTTCATAAATTTTTATTAGCTCCCTAGGGTACTATATCCGAGAGAATACGGTAATAGCGGGTCACTGCGCCCATAGCCCCCCAGGCTCTGCACTTGTGGCCCTTTCCCGAGGATCTACTCAAGGGTAACCCCCCCAGTGGGTCATTTGACAAAAAGAACTGAAAACATTTCAAATTAATATTTGCGTGGGAACCCTATTACCTTTTTATTTCCATAAGGGAAGCCAAGGATTTTATTTGCTCACCTTGATATCAATTCAATGGATCCGAGTTTTGAATATACTATGAAATGACCCCCCTTTTTGCCTTGCTATAACATACCATGCAAGGAATGTTGCTAAGCCGATTTTTTGCTAAGTTATAGCATTTACGTTTCAAATGGCGTTGTATTTCAACCCTAACGGATCACCTCCTCCTGTCCGCGTCTGAAAGCCTTCAGTGAAAATATGAAAGCAGTTGCTTGAAATCAGCGAGCTGAGGTGCGGAGTGTCCGGGTTAAAAATCGTCCAGTAACATTTTGCCTTGTGCTTGTTAGAGCGAGTGGCGGTGCGTATCGCAAGAAATTTGCTATGGGTGTTTCACCAGAGTAGTACGGAATCGAATGTCAAGGTTCAGAATAACAGAATGTCGTACAATGGAATAACGAAGCAAGATATAGGTGTCAACTTATATATATTATTTATATATAGTTGTGTAGGCTTGGTAGGTTATGTGTTCTATCAATTTTGGATCCTACTGTAGAGAGGACAACCCCCGTTCTTGTATCTCTCTCTCTTCCTAGTCGCCTCTCTTTTTCTGTCATACTTTTCTCCCTAGCTAAAACCTCTCGACATTTCTCATGCATAACTAGCTTCTAGGTAACATGGTTTCAGAGCAGGAGATCCTGCTGCACCTTGTCATCACGCTTCCGTCGCGTACTCTCTCCCCTCCCGTCACTTTCGCGCCGCTGTAACGGCCACGTCGGACTGCCATGGCGGCCTCGATGCGCTGCCGTGGCGGCCTCGATGCGCTGCTGTGGCGGCCTTGACGCGCTGCCGTGGCATCGACGCCACGCCATGGCGTCTTCGTCGTGCTGCCGTAACGGTTTCGACGCGCCAGCGCACGGTTTCAGCGCCGGTCAGTTCGCCCGCACACCAGCCAGCACCGCGCCAACCACGGCGCCTCGCTGAAGACTCACCCCTTTCCTCTACATTTCCACCTCCTCCCCGCCGCATTTGCTGGCGGTCTCGTGCGGTCCTTCCCCCCGTCGTCACAGTGTGTGCCACGCCGCCGGGTGCCTCGGGCGCCGCCGCCACCACCGCCGCCGAGTGCCTCGACGCCGCTGCCGCCGCCGCAGGTACTGCAAGCCCTGCCGCCGCCGCAGTCGCCGACGCCGCCGCCGCTGCGACCCGCCGCTAACGTCGCCACCTCGATTGCCGAGGGGTCGACCCGCTGGTAGATGCCACAACTGCTGCAGGACATGGGGGTGCAAGGGTTTGTGGGTGTTGCGTGTGTGGTGTGCTAGCGCCTACCAAGCCTAGGGGATGTGTCAGTGTATATATATAACTTATATATACATGTAGTTGTGTAGGCTTGGTAGGTTAGGTGTTCTATCAATTTTGGACCCTACTGTAGAGAGGACAACCTCCCTTCTTGTATCTCTCCCCCTTCTTACAATGGAATGATGAAGCAAGATATAGGAACAATGGAGCAATCCTAGCTATGCGATCGAACAGGTTCGAAGAAGGCATTCGAGGACGCGGAACACTTCAGAGTGACGCGAAATGGTTCGCCGTAGCGTGTACGGGCCGAAGCTAGGGCATATGTCCGTGCTGTGTGGGGTTGGGGTACGCGTTAGCAGTGTGGCGCGCTAAGGAATGGGAAATTCCTTACAAAATTGCATAACGACTCGCGCGATTTGCTGACATTTCAGGCGTTACCGCCGCACGCGATGCGGTCTTGGCAAAAATTTGGGTCGAAACCGCCTGTTGGATTAGAGCCTCGCCGCGTTTTGCAGAAAGCCCTTCTTTCATATCCTGGCTAGGTTTTTGTGAGGCAGAGAAAGCCAGGGAGCAGCAGAAAAATCAGCCCGCATGGAGTGCCTTCCTGTGATCCTCAGTTCTACGCAAGTCAACCAACCCAACCAAACCCACACGTTCTTGGCGGTTCGTCCCGCGGCGCCTAAAACTAGCAGCTCGCGATGTGGCCAATTCTGTGGTCCCACGGCTCAGCCAATCTGTTCTCGAGTGTAGAAATTTTCAGCCAATCAATTTCCGATTTTCAATAGCTTTTTGCGCTCGAGGCAGCCAACGGTCCCGTCTTTTCCCCAAATTTTAGCTTCAAGGAGCAGCCGGCGCACTGCTCCATCGGGAGTTCCATTCACCTCCCCAGTTTCCATCAGCTAGTCCCAACGCTCCTCATCCAACTTCGTCCATCCTCCAAACGTTCTAGTTTCCAGGCAACATTTCCTCATTTCTCTGCCGTTCGTTCTCGCCTATAGGCCGTTCCTCCTGGTTTCCACAACGTTTTTCCACGTTTTGGCTCCATTCTGCTCGTTATCCTCAGCTATTAATGCCATGAGGATTTCACCGCATGCATAGTTGCTTCACTGCTCGCCATTGCGTTTGTAAACCGGAGGAATCTTACTAATTTCCAGAGATAAGCACTTAATAATTTCGATTCGCCGAGGTAAGCACTTACTCATTTCCAGCCATCATGTTTTTCGTTCCTGTCTTATTTGAGCTTACTAATCTGACATTTGTTTTCTCGTATTCGTGCATGTTTTACCTTCGGTTTCAATCCTTTCGTCGCGTCTCCTCCTCCGCTGCTGTTGCCACCACGAGGATTACGCTTCATGCGAAATAACTTCACTGCTTGCCACAGGCTTCCATTTCGGTTTTTCCACCTTCACAATTGATTCGGGCGGAGGTAAGAGCTTATTTTCCCGCGATTTCCTGTCATCCTGTTTTTCATGTGCCATATTTGACATTTCCTGTCTTTGTCGTTCGCTTGGCAGATTATAACATCCATGTCCAAGCACTGTCGGCCGTTTCTTGCAAGACGGATAGGCGAACGACTGCTGTTACTATCGCACCATCTTCGTGGTGGTCGTCGCTCGTGACCAGAGGACTCCCTCTCTCGCCCCCCCCTTTTTGCTATTCTAGTATGTGGTTTTAAGGGCGATGCCAATTTATCAAGACGCCATTTTCTCAAGTGCCGTCGTCCACCTTAAGCTCCTGTAAGCAACTTCAAACAGGAACGCGCATCATGGTACGCGTTTGAAGCGACAAGTCTAATCTATTCGCGTTCGTGCTTTCGGTTTCCACATTGGCAACTGGCAAATGTCTCGTAATGTGTAGGGATCAGGGCTAAGCGAATAAGTCAATCAAGTGAAGGGCTTCGACTCTTCGCAGTCCCAGCGACCGTTCAGAACGCTCTCGAGACCGCCGAAATCCGCTCAACGCTGAAGGTACAGTTATGGATTATGGAG